AATATGGTCTCAGATACTTACTAGCTTATGTGACCCTTGGCAAGTCACTTCGCCCTGGTTGCCTCAGTTCCTTATCTATAAAATGAGCTGGAGAAGGAAATGGCAAACCACTCCAGTATCTTTGCCAGGAAAACCTCAGAAGAGGTCATGAAGAGTTGGACACGACTGAAACAACTAAACAACCGAGCAAAAGCTGGCCCCAGATCAAGTTTCACATCCTCTCCAGCCTAGCCATTAATAAACTAGGGCCTACCCAGCACAGGCATCTTGTCATCCGTGTATATCCTCACTCCCTCCACTTCCAACTTTCTACCTGTTGCTCTTGCTGATCCCCTGGGGACAATTATCAAACCACTGCTACTAGAAAAAGATGGATAGCTTTACTCAAAATCTCTGTGGCTTCTCTGACCGAAACTTCTTTCCCTGGACCCCATTCTCTTATGTATTGTATCCCCCATCAGAATATAAGCTCCTTGAGGACAGGGAGTGTCTTTTTATTTTTGTATTCCATGCCTAGCGCATAATAGGTACTTAATAAGTCCTTATTCATTCATTTTTTTAAAGCAAGGGATAACTAATGGATAGCTTGTGTTTTCTACTCGTGTATCCACACAACATCAAGAGATATAGAGGAATGCTTTAGCATGTTGAGCGAATACCTTCTGTAGGATTTATAAGACATGGACAAGAATGGCACAGGATGAGATAGCGTAGATGACTTGTAATTATCATTGTTGGTGAGAGAGTACTCACACTGATAAGATCCATAGAATTTAGAGGTTTTTAATATTGAATTAAAAATATTGAAAATACTTACAAATTTACTAAATAAATTGACTTTTAATAACTTTTTATTGATTTTTTAATAACACCTTCATTTCCAAATATACTCCTTCCCTACTCAGCAAGCCATCCCTTTTAACTAAGAATAACAAGAGAAAAAAAAAAGCAGTTCAGCAAAACTAACCAACATAATAACCAATTTTGATTGTATATTCATTATTTCATACTATGGTGGTTGGTTACAGAATTTATCAGACTTTTAAGTCTTTCAAAGTTATTTGTCATTACAATGTTGTCATTACATCATCTCCTGGCTCTGCTTACTTTAGTCTGTTATCAGTTTATGCAAGTCTTTCCAGGTTTCTTTGAAACTGTCCCTTTTGTCATTTCTTATGACACAACAGTTTTCCATTACATTCATATATCTTTTTTTTTCTTTTCTTTTTCGGCTAGGCAATGGGGTTAAGTGACTTGCCCAGGGTCACACAGCTAGTAAGTGTTATGTGTCTGAGGTCGGATTGGGACTCAGGTCCTCCTGAATCCAGGGCCGATGCTCTATCCACTGCACCACCTAGCTTACCCTACATTCATATGTCTTAATTGGGTCAGTCATCCCTCAGCTGATTGGCATTGCTCTTAGTTTCCAGCTTTTTGCCACTTAAAAACACACTATAAATATTTTGTGTATATGGGTCCTTCTTTCATTGATCTCTAGTCTGAGTACAAGCCTAGTAGGGGTGCTTAATCAAAAGGAAAGCATAGTTTAGTAACTTTGGGGGCATAATTCAAAATTGCTTCCTGGACCAATTCTGGACCAATTCAAAGCTCTACCAACATTATAGTAATATGCCTGCTTTCCCACAGCATCTCCAACAATTCTCATTTTTTTTTGTTAAAGTTGCCAATCGGATGCCCATCTTTTTATTTTGTAAATGAAGAAGCTGAGGCCTAAAGTAGTTACATAACTTGTACTTTTTGGGATCAGAAGGAAGAACTAGAAGAATGGGTGGGAGTTGGTTGCAAAGGGTCAAATTTAGGCTTGACATCTAGAAAAATTCCCTAATCATAAAAACTATCCAAAAGTGGAAATGGGCTGCCTTGGAACAGGGTGGGTTCTCCAACACTTGAGATCCTCAAGCAAAGACTAGATACTCTATCTTTAGTTCTGGGATTCTATGGTTTGGATTCCATGGAACATGGAATGATGTCAGAAGAGTCATAATAGCAAGCAACTTTAATGGCAATGGACATGGCGGTGAGCTTAAGGTACAGCTTATAATAAGATGTGACCTTTGAGGTTGAGAAGGGTTCTCAAAGATGCCATTAAGGACATGTTTGACTGGAAAAGGAGGTGGGCCAGTAATATGTTTTGGGTAGATCCTCTATGGATAATTGATAGAAGGATATGGACAAGAATTAAGTTTCTATCAACACTGGAGGGAGTATCCAGGCCAATGAGATCACAGATCAGTTGAAGGACTGAAGGAGAGTATGATAACTTGGTAAAAACTTAACAGTAGAAACCATTATCAGAAAAGTAAAACAGAATTATAATGTTTTCTGGACTTATGTCTTCCACAGTGTTATGAAAGAGCAAAATATCTCTTTCAGAAATAGAGTGCAGGAAAAGAGAATAGGAACTAATTCCCCTTCTGCCCCCTTCATCCCAAACTCATTAAATACCTTTGTCAAATCAGCTTTTCCCCCCTCTCTTTCTCCCTCTTAACTTCTTTTGTTTCAATTTGACCAATTTAATGAACTGAAGCTTTGCCTAGGAAAAGCTTCCCATATTTTCTAAGTAATAGTTTATTTCTTGATTTGCTGTAACTTAATTTGAAACATACACCAATTTATTCCCCATGCAACAGAAGACAGGAAGAATCACAAGCAGCCAAGAGGGGTGTGATGCAAAGGCCTCCTGTCATAGGATTGTGGTTGCTTGCCAGAATCCCAGGCTTCTGAAGATATCTTGTGCTCTGCACTGCTTACAGAGTTGTAGACTCTCCGAATTGGAAGGAACAGTTCTTACAAATTATCTAGTACGATCTTAATTCAGTGGAATTTAACTGAGTTCAATTCAGTTTATTAAGCATTTATTAAATGCTTTATTTTGTGCAAGGCCTTGTATTAGGCTTTGGGAGCATAAAAACAAAAAGGAAAAAACAGTTCTTGCCCTCAAGAGGCTTATATTCTACCATGGGATATAACATGTACATAGATAAGTAAATTAAAGAGAATTTGGGAAATTAGAGAGCACTAATAGCTTCCACTCTACGCAGGGTTCCCTTCTACAATCTCCTTGATGGCTGTCCAGCCAGCTTACTCTTAAACATAGCCTCTTCCTTCACTGTTGAATAATTCTAACTCTTAAGAATGTAAAATCTACTTCTGCATCCTTGTTTCACCCAAAAATAACTTTCCAAAATCAGGTCCTTGCTACTTGCACTGTAGTCCAGTCAGATGTAATAGCAGTATCTCATACTTTTGCCTTTGATTCTTAGATTTTGTATCACACCAACTGCAGAAAACAAAATTTATTCTACTTCCTAGTAAAGTTTTTGATAGGATCATCAATTTCTAATTGGAAGGGACCTCAAAGGTCATGAAGTCCAATCTCCTTATTTTAGAGATGAGGGAACTGAGTCCCAGGGAGTATTCTCTCCAAGTTGTTATAGGCAGGAAGTTGCAGAGACATTGGTTCTCTCTGTCTCAAATCTAGCTCTTTCTACTATCCCATGCTGCCTCCTGTTCATAGATGGAGATAAATATAGAGTCTTAGAAGTTGATTTTAGTTGCAGTAAGGGATATCTGTCAAAAGCCTTATTCATATATAGTGATTACTACAGTTATACATCTGGATCTGGAAGGAAGAGAAAGACTTTAGTAGGCCATGATGAGAATGGATTATGTTCTATGAAGGGGGGATAGCTTATGGTTAACATAATTCTCTTTCTATTACAAATTTAAAAATATTTTTGTGAATGAAAGTCCTTTTAAACATTTTCCCCTTCATTATATAAATTCATAATTAAATTAAAAAAAAACTTAAGGAAGTTAAAGAAGGCCTTCACATTCTATTCTATTTATACAGAAAAGTAAACGTATTGTTTTCTGATAGCCAAGTTCTGACTCTGACTCATCTGAGTTCTTGAACATCTTCCAAAATAAAAATGAAAATTATTTATTTTAATCTGGAGGTAAGTAGCTCCAGAGAATAGGACCAAGTAACTTTGAGCAATGGAGAGAGGAGGGATCAAGGGAAGCAATCCTACTGGAGGAGTAGGATCAGTTGAGGGAACAATGTACTATATACTAAAATGATTCAAATACATTCAACAAATACTTATTAAATGCCTGCTGTGTGCAACACTATGCTTGGTGCTAGGGATGCAAAGATAAAAAAGCATATAGTTCCTGGCCTCAAGGAACTGACTGTTCACTATGGGTATGATGTAACCAATAAGCATAATACAAGGGAGAATGTGATAATATATTTGTATCCCCTATCCAGAAGAATCTAGCCAAGTACCTCATACACAGTAGGATTGATTAAGGCCAAAGAGAGAGACAGATAAAGTATCTAGGAAAACTTGCAGGAATGGTCATTTTCAGCTGGTTTCTTTGTCCTCTTTGCTGCTAAGCAAAGGGAAGCCTTTTCCTCCTTGCCTCTTTTCCTTTCTGCCAGCACAGCTGATATTATTCAGGACTACTGCTTCAATTACAGTGTTATCTAGTCCCAACTCCTATTTTCAGATAAGAGAAAGAATGCTCAACACTGAAAATGGCTTACTAAAGGTCACGCAGCCAGTAAATGGTAGAGCATTGATTCTTTTTTTCACACAAACACTTTTCCCCCAGCAGGTAAAGGGGGGAAGTTGTAAAGGGGTATGTGTACACTCATATGGACTAGTGGCATTTGGCATTGTGGGCAAAAATGTGACATGAGAGCTCAGCGGTCCAATGATATCACTTAACAGTAATAGCCTTCTCTTAATTTGGGATCCATGAACTTAAAAGAAAAAAAATTTTTATGACTGTATTTCAGCGTAAATGGTGTCCTTCATAATGTTATTTATTTCAAGCATCTCAAAACCTCATTCTGAGAAGGGATCCATAGGCCTCACCAGAATGCCAAAGGGGTCCAGGATACAAAAAAGGTGAAGAACCTCTATTCTAACTGCTTTTCATTTTTCACTTTTTATCTTTTAATCACCCACCTGATGTGAGTTGATGGAATTTTTGTCAGGGGTTTCAGCTTATACTTCAGCTTAGAATCGGAAGAAGCCGACATTTGGCTGGTGACACCGTCTGGAATGCAGAAAATGGAACTAAGTGATCTTTTCGTAGGTTTATTCCTTTGTGGTCCCCCCCCCCCCCATTATACCCAGCTCAAGGCTTTCCAAAGAGCATAACAGAACTCTAGGTACTATAAATAATCATAACAACTAGCATTTATATGATGCTTTAAGGTTTGTAAAGCACTTTACAAATATGATCTCATTTTATCCTCAACAATGACCCTGCCAAGTAGATTATTATCTCCCTTTTACGATGAGGAAACTGAGGCAGACAGAAGTGAAGTGGCTTGCAGAGTCACATTAAGTGCCTGAGGCTGTATTTGAACTCAAGTCTCCTTGACTCCAAGTCCAGTGCTCTATCCACCATATCACCTAGCTGCCTCTATACTATTATAACATGGATTCAGAGGGAGGAATAAATAAAATTAAGGAAATGTTTTCAAAGTATGGTTGGGCCATCACCTGTGCCAGGGTGGGTAAAGGAGACACTGCCTCCTTAGCACCTCTAGAGAGCTTTAAGTGATGGGGTAATATCTGTTGTTACTCCACCTCCTCATTTTCAACAGTATAACCTCAGGAAGTCGAGCAGGCAGGCTCTGAAGGAAAGTCAGTAACTTAGAAATAAAACTTGCCATGTCCAGGGAACAGTCTAATATCACAACTAAACAGAAGGAAGTTTGTAATATTTATTTCTCTCCTGCAGATGCCTTGGGGCACCTAAGCTCTGCTATGTGTAGTTTTTTTTCTACAATGTTTTCACTGTCCCTTGTGCTCTCAGCCTGGGTGGCCTGTCCTTACTTCACCACCTTCTATAGGCATCACTGCTGTTCTGTCCTTTGTTGCCCAGTGTGAGGCTAGGAACAGAATGATGGCCCATTTAAGCCAGACTCTTCCTGAATAGAACCCAAGGTTATTCATACCGCGCCCCCCACCCCTTTCCCTACTCCCTTTATGGGTAATGTCTGATTGTCAGACTAGGGGGGATTTCAGGGACTGCATTGGTAGGGGCTTTTCCTTTGTGCATATGCTTGGTTTTCATGTTCTAAATTATCTTCCAAAAGAAGACAGTTTCAGAGAACAGACAACGTCTCTGGCAAAGTTGCAGATGAAGAGGAGGAATAGAAGATAAATTGTTAAGTAGTGCAATCAGAATAAAAAAAGAAACAGAAAAACAACTCTATTTGATTTCTCCGGAAGGTGCCCAGTCCAGAGACTAGAAAGCAGTAGTTCCTGAAAGTTGTTACTTGGGTGGGGAACTTATTACCTAGTCAGAAAGCCCAAGAGGGGCCCCCAAACTCTGACATTATAAAATCTATCCCATCATTCAATATCAGCATTAGTTTTGACTTTTTACCCCTATGCAAAAGTGACAGGTGGCTAATCAAAACTGGGATCTTGGCATAGAATCCTACTGAGTTCTGAAGTTTAAACAACAAATTTAAACTATGCCACTCACCACCTCTGGGCCTTGATCAGCAAATGATCAAGAGCCCAATAAGAGGTTTGTTCCATCATACAACTATGACCTCACTGCTTATTCTCATGGAGAGAGTGAAGCAGAGGATCCTTGCAATCTCAGAGCTCCAGGTTTTTCAGAGTGGCTTGTCCAGTAAAGCAATACTCCTGAAGAAGTGGAGGTGTGTGTGTGTATATGTGTGTGTGTGTGTGTATATGTGTGTGTGTGTGTGTGTGTGTGTGTGTGTGTGTGTTTATGTATGGCGGAGGTAAAAAATGGTGAAATCTTAGAAATTTAGAACTGGTCAGAAATTTTAAACAGGACCTATGAGAAGGGAAAAACTTTTTCTTAAACTTTCCATGAACAAATTTGCTTATTGTCAATTATTTGAGTTAAAAGCAGTTCATAACTAGCCATTCTATTCCTAGCTCCTGACCACTTTAATCCCTCCAAGTCAGGATAAATGGTGTAGAAGGAAAATTTAATTAACTGGTTAAGCTACGATGGCTGGAAAGAGAAGGACTGGAAGATTGACTAGTAGTAAATTGTAGAGGAAAGAATACCAACTCTAGGTTTTGGTGACTTCCAGTTATAAGTAGAGATTGCTGCTGATATCTCTGACATTTAGAAACTGGAAATCTGTTGTTTCTAAAAGTCTCTGTACGTGAGGGAAACATTTGAAAACCTAGAATGTATCCAGGTACTCTCTAGGGACCCTGTCCAGAACAAGCAAAAACAAACCAAAATCCTTATGAATTGGTAAGTATTTTAGTGTCTCTTGGGAAGGTGGGTTTAAAGAGAGGAATTAATAGGAGTGACTAGTGTCAATTTTACATTCACAACATGGTATCTTAGAAATCTAATTTGGCTTGTATACTCAGCTTTCAAACTGATTTTCCTTGAGCTCAACAGATCTGACGACATCTCTCCCCTACTATTCCTTATAAACTCTAGTACCTTACTCTTGCCTCTAGGATAAAATATATAAACTCAGATTTTTAATGCCTTTCACAAACTGGCCCCATCCTTTCCAGCCCCATTCTATATTACTTGAATCTACATTCTAGTCCAAACCGATCTTCTCTCTAGTCTTCATATAGCTCTTTTTCCCCCTTTTTTCTCTGGCTGTACTCCATGCATGTCCTTCTTCTTCACTTTCAAATCATGGAATACCTCTCTTCTTTAAAGATGTAGTTCAAGCACAACTTTCTTCTACATGAAGCCTTTCCTGACTTCCCTATTTGGTAGAGCAAAGCTTCCCTCCCTAGCCACCTACTATACATTTTATATTTGCATATGTTATGTTGTGTTTCTCCTAATAGACTATATAAGTTCCCTGAGAGTAGGGATGGTTTTTGGGATATTTGTGTATCCAGCACTTAGCACAATGCCTGGTATTGAATTTTTCAATTCAAATTCCTTCTATCACAAAGGTCAGCCATCTTTTTAGCTATTAGTAAGGCTAAGCAATGACCATAGATAGCAATTACAATTTTAAAGTCCAGGAAGGGAAGAATAAAAATGAGGAAAAAAAATAAAAATGAAGAAAAAGAAGGATAGGAGGGAGTGAGGGGGAAGGAAAGAAGTACTTATATGTCTGCAAATCATAGAACATAATCTCAGAAAAATTAAAGTTAAAAAAACCAAATAAAGGTCAATCTAAAGTCTCATGGTAGATATAAATAGGCTGTTATAGCAACTTACATGTTAATAACTTGTATGCAAGATATGGACTAAGAAACAGTACTGAGTATAAATATGATTGGGGGGGGAAATTAAAAAAAACCCACAGGCTGCTGAGGTAGTAAGAATGAGAGACAACAGATGGCCAGCCTAAGTACTATCTTGGTATTTTTAAGACACTAAAAAATAAATAAATAAAAGTAGGAAGACTGTAGCCCATTGGATAGATCACCTATAGTGTGATTAATGGGGAAATTATAACTGTACAAGATAAGGATGCTTGGAAATTATGATTTGTGTCAGTGGAGGAAGTGGTCATACTGAAGAAATGGTAGATTCACTGAATGACCTAGATGAAATTGCCCCATGCTATTTTGTTGGTTTGGGACCATTTCACAGATTGGAAAAACAACTTAAAATCAATCATCACCATCTCTGATCTTGCCTCCACTTTGTTTTAATCTTTCTATCCAGACATACACACCTCTACTCAGCTATTTATGTGTTTGCAGGCTGCACCAATATCCTTGAGACAAGCACCCAAGATGCCTAAAGAGTGTAGGACTGAAGCAATAACTGCCAACTTTTTCACTTATTTGACTTAGAATTGGGCTATTTGTATATTACCATGGGAAATTTTTTTTTGTTTTAAAAAAGCTCAGAGGATGAAGTTTTCAACAACAACAAAAAATTAACTTATTTGCCAAAATTCAGAGTCACATGGAGAAAAACCAGCTAATAATTAGAATTTAATGATCTCCTCAATAGATAGTTTAGGGAATAGGACCAAGAAATCAAGTATATGAAAAAGCAATGAGGTTTTTTAGGAATAAGTGTGAGATTCCAAAATCTCAGTTCTACAACATCTTCTCATATTGCTTATTGCTCACATTGCTTACCTTTAATGGTCTTTGAAAATTCTATCAGTTTGTTTAGATCCACTTTCCCATCATCTGTAAGTCAAGGACAAGATAAGACTCAGAAGCAGTGATAAGCAAGACAATTTTAAAAACAGCATAAACAGAATACTATTGTGCTATGAAAAATGATAAACAGGATGCTTTCAGGAAAACCTGGGAAAAGTAAAATGAGCAGAACCTGGAGAACACTGTACACAGCAACAGCAATATTGTACGATGATTAACTGTGAATGATTTATCTATTCTCGAATATAACAATTCAAGACGGTTCTGAAGGACTTATGATGAAAAGTGCTATCTACCTCCAGAGAAAGAAGTGATGGAGCCTGAATGCAGATTGAAGCATGCTTTTAAAACTTTTTTTTAATTCTTTTTTTTGGGTCTGTATTTTCTTTTGCAACATGGCTAACATGGAAAAATGTTTTGCATGAATGCACATGCACAATCTATATCAAATTACTTGCATTCTCAAGGAAGGGGAAGGAATAGGGAGGAAGGGAGAGAATGTGGAACTCAAAATAAATAAAACCCGAATGTTAAAATGTTTTTAATATGTAATTGAGAAAAAAAATAAAAATGTAAAAAATGGCATAAAACTGTGAAAATTAGCATAAACAGCTATTTTCTCTGATTTGTCTTAAAATTTTATCTGCACAGAGGAATGGAAAACTAAAAAGAGGAATTTTCAAATGTTATTTCTACCTATTTTCATTCATTTTGTTTCAAATGAAAGACCAAAGGCAGCCAATGGGGAGAAGCGTGTTAGGGGCAGATCTAATGCTCTAAACCACATTCTTCAGTATTTCAGCTCCAGGGAAGGTGGCAAGAAATGTCCTGGTGGCCTCATTCTGTTGGCCAAGGAATAAGAGCATCTACTAGTTAATATAGTCGTGCTGAAATTCTGAACCAGTCTGTTGGCTAAGGGTTTATGCTTTCTAAAGTAGAGTCTAAATGTCAGAGCTTAAGGGATCATGGAAATCATCAGGTCCAATCCCCTACCTTTTACAAAGGAGAGGTAGAGTGACTTGGCTCAGATCACACGGTGAGTTAGTGTCACAGCTAGGTCTAGAATATGGGACTCAGACCCCAAGTCCAGTGCTCTTTCTATTATTACCTAGTAATTCTTCTTAGCTCATCTGCATAATATGTGGGCACAATATATAATGCATGAACAGGGACAATCAGTCTTTTTTCCTTTTTGTGGTCATGCAAACATATCAGTGAACAAATATGTGGTTTGAATGTATTTTCACATCAATATGGAAAATGTTTGGCGGCACCATGGTACCATTATGATTGTGTTGGATGTAATGGAATAATAAAAGAATTTGTTAAAACACCCACTATGTGCCAAGAACTGTGGATACAAATATTCATTTATTTACTTTTTGCTAGGCAATGGGGTTAAGTGACTTGCCCAGGGTCACACAGCTAGTAAGTGTTCAAGTGTCTGAGACCAGATTTGAACTTAGGTCCTCCTGACTCCAGGGCCAGTGCTCTATCTACTGAGCCACCTAGCTTCCCCTGCTGTGGATGCAAATAAAAAATCAATAGACTTTATTCTCAAGGAGGTCACATTCTAATTAGGAGAGAAAACACATATAAGAGTGTTCAGTTGCAGGCAGACCTGATGGTCCTTTGGGAGCAATGAAAAGGTAGGTGACAATGCCCAGGAGTGCTTAGGGTGCAACATGAGGTCAGATGGCAACACTTAAGGGTTCAGAGGTCATATTGGCAGAGTAGATGGTAAGGCCCAGTAGACTATCATCTTATAGGGAGGATTGTAATTTGTAATTCCCTGCTCATTCAAGTGGTGTGAGCAACCATATCCCTTGACCAGTGATTGCTGGGAAGGAGGTATAGTGGACCTAAGGGTTGGAATGGAGCAGGGTTCTGGACTACCTCTGGCAGGTGTGGGGCTAATAGGGGTAGGGTCAGTATACAGTCAGGAGGGGGTGTCCATCACCTGGCAGGAACTGGACAATGAGAGCTGGGGCATGGGAAGGGAAGGACTGGATGATATACTGGAAGAAAAAGAGCTAGATATACCCACAATAAAAGATAGTTTGGGGGGTGAAGGGACTAGTAGCTGGGGTGTGTGTGTGTGACAGGAAAAGCTTCATGGAGAAAGTGGTACCTGAATTGAGCTTTGAGGGAAACAGAATTCTAGCAGGTGGAGGTGAGGAGGAAGCGCATTCCAGTTATGGGGTACAGACAGAGCAAAAATAAGGAGACAGAAGATGGAGCACTGTGTGCTATTATCAGCAAGGCCGATTTGGCCAGACCATAGAGTGTGGGATGACCAGGCTGTGAATATGTCTAAAAGCCAAATGGAAAACTCCAATTTGATCCTAGAGGCACTTTTATTTATTTGTTTATTTATTTATTGGATTTAATGGAGCTTACTGAGATGAGTAACATGATCAAGCCTGTGCTTTAAGAAAGCTACATCAGGGAGCAGCTAGGTGGCACAGTGGATAGAGCTCTGGCCTTGGAGTCAGGAGGATGTGAGTTGAAATCCAGTCTCAGACACATGACACTTACTAGCTGTGTGACCCTGGGCAAGTCACTTAACCCTGATTGCCTCACCAAAAAAAAAAAAGGCAAAAAAAAAAGCAAAAGAAAACCACATCAGTAGCTGTGTGGAGGATGGATTAGAATAGGAAGGGACCAAATAAGAGGATATTGCCAATAGTTTAGACAAGAGATGATGAGGGCCTGAATTAGAGTGGTGACTGACTGAAAGAGAAGGGCTAGATATGAGAGATCTAGCTTTTAGCATAGTGCCACACTTATAGGAAGTGCTTAATATTTATTGATTGTCTACAGAAATAGAAATGGCAAGGTTTATCAACTGATTGGATATGTGGCATAAAGGAGAATGAGGAGTCAAGGATAACTCTGAGGCTGTGACTCACCTCCTTGGAAGGACAGAGACATCTTTAGTAAAAATGGGGAAGTTCAAAAGAGTGGTGGGTTTGGGGAAAAGGATAATGATTTGTGTTTTGGAAATATTGAATTTGATATGGCTAAGGGACATCCAGTTTGAAATGTAGTAAGATTTGAGGTCTTCCCTACACTTTCCCCCTCCTTCAGATACCTTGAACAACAAGCCCATGAAATCCCTAAAATTGTATTTTCTCCTGCAAAATCTTTTTTTGGTTGGGATTATCTGACTTGCATTGTTCTATAAAGTCCTTGGGACCTTGCTACTTGTCCTGATACTTTATCTCCCAGAATCTCAATACTCCTTGGCATTTCTATCTGCTGTGAAATGAACATGAATATGAACACAAATATTCTTTTATGTGCTCTTTCCTCCATTATAGAATGTAAGAGAGCAGGGACTCTCAGTTTTCTGTTTGTATCCTCAGTACTTACAATAAAGCTTGGCTCATAGTAAACTCTTAATAAATACTTTTTCATTCCATTGTACTCAATTTCATTCTTGGTCTTTCCCCATTTTCCCCAACTCTTCAGTGCCAATTCCATTTCCTATATAAACATATTTGTGACTGTGATATGTTAGAGTCCAAAGCTTCACTGTCCTTGATAGAGAACAGTTTAAAAAAATCTTTGCAGCTCTTTTCTAGTTTTCACTTGTTTGTTGTCTTCCAGTTTAATCTTTAAATACTTTTGAGATGACTTTGCTTATTAGGGTTTCTTGCCAAGCTTCATTTTTTTTTTTTGGTGAGGCAATGGAGTTAAGTGACTTGCCCAGAGTCACACAGCTAGTGAGTGTTATGTGTCTGAGGCTGTATTTTAACTCAGGTCCACCTGACTCCAGGGCCGGTACTCTATCCACTATACCACCTAGCTGCCCCCATTGCCAAGCTTCATTTAAACCAACTTGTTTCTCTACTTTTTTTTTTTTGCTGTTTTATGAATTGATACTGTTCCTAAGCTCATTTTTATTCTTCCAGCTTTGTATGAATTTTAATCTTTGCTCTGGTAATCTGACAAATAAAGATAGTTAACTTAGTAATGATTCCATATAAATAACAAGCCATTTCTTGCCTGTTCAAATGTAATTAATATAGTTTTTTTTTGGTATATAATAATGTAATTAATATTGTTAATGATACATAGACTTGAAGCTTCTGTGTAGTCTACAATTCTCTGATCTTTCTCAATCTTTACTTCTGTAATTTGTTTTCCAGAATATCTTTTGCATACTATATGTGACAACTCTGTCAATTCATTCATTTGCTTGTCCAAAGAGAATGTGTGAGACATCCTTCCATTTAGGTGCAACTTCCTTTTGTCTTCTGGTGTTATTTATGGGGAGAATATCAAGATTGGTATGAATGAATGAAAAATGAAAAAGCATTTTAAGTGCTTACTACATGCCAAGCACTGTGCTGTGTGCAAGGGATATAAACACAAAAGCAAAAATAGTTCCTGCCTTCAAGGAGCTTACATTTTAATAGAGGGAGTCAATACACCCAAGGTAGTGATGACTTAGAAGGGGTACTCTGGTCCAGAAAATTACAGGAATTTTGAATGGGGCCATGAAGGAAGAGAATGACATGCTCCTTCCAGAAGTAGTGGCAGAGTTGATTTGATCATGTTTCCATAGTAGGAAAGCAGGGGGTGAGGGGATCTATACATAAGGTGGCAAGACAACTGATGAGGAGGTGGTTGTGGATCAGGGAGTTAAGTAAAGCATGGCCATGGGCCAGGTGAAGCATATACCAATCAAGATAGCAGGGCTCCAGGGTGGGACTTCTGGAGATGAACAGGTTAAAATCCCCAGAGCATGATTTCAAGTCCCAGAGGGGATGAGAAGATGGCCAAGGAGTATGAAGTAAATAGGATTCATTTCCTCCAGCTGATTGTCCACTTGTTGGTTACTGGATAAGAATCTTATATTTAGAGTACCAGTAGCTAAGTTGGTGTTTATAGAAGGTCTAAAAAGAATGATTCTTAGTATCCTCTGTTTTGCCATTCTTCCTCTCTCACTACAGAAGCACAAGTGATCAATGGGTAACTGAGACCCATTTTGTATATTTCTTTGTTTAATGAATTGCCATGGCCACAGAATTCTTCACCAAGTTGGCCAGCCTACTAATGGGACTCTCTGTACAGCCTCTTTGTACTTGGCTAGCCTGGTCCTTGGGAAGTAGACACTGTACATTGAAACTGTATGGACAACCTTCCCAGAGTAGGAACCTGTCAGAATATGTACTACTTCAGCTCAGGCACTGAGAAATTAGGTCTGACAATATAGTAACAAGTCATTTCCTACATGTTTGAATAGAATCAATTCCATTTTTCGTTATTATTTGGGGCTCATTTTTTTACTCTGTGTTATGATGATGCTTCAGAGTAGGACTGTGTTATTACATTATATGAAAACAGAAGCAAAACCAAACCAAGCAACCTATGTATGGTTTATATTGGTGTCCTTATTTAACTTCCTCTAAATGGACCTTTCTGTTCTCTCTTTCTTTTTTCTTTTCCTCTTCTATTCCATTTTTTGTCTACTTCTTCAACTGCCTTTTTCTTCCTTACCTGGGCCTTAAACCCACGAGTGGTTCTTGTATCACTCCTGGGTACTGATTACCTTGGCTGGTGGCATTTATAAATTGAGAGATTTCTGTCCCTAACCTAAAGGTAAATGATTAGTCATGTTTTCTTCTCACTCTAGGATGGGTCTTTTAAACTATGTTTCAGACCATCTCTATGGCCTCAAAGCAGAATAATTTCACAAGTTCCATCACTCAGCCCTACAAACTGAGCTCCATGGAGGTATACAACAGGATATGACTGACTCACGATCAAATGGGATAACTGTCAGCAGCAACTGAAACTGCTGATCTGTAAGGTCCATCCCCAGGTTCCTCAGGACATTTTTCAGTTCATGGATATCAACCTTTACTCCTATAGGAAAAATGAAAATGGTAAAAGACAGGAATAAGAAAAAAAACCAAATGATGTTAAAGTGTGAAAAACCTTCTATGCTTGCCTATGTTAACTGACTGAAAAGGAAAACATCATGAGGCTTTTTAAAGTTGGTTGAGTTCACATGGATGTAGCTCATGAAAGCCCTTTTGGTTCTACTCATTGATTTAGTTGTTTTGGAGACAAACGACTTTTGGTTATGTTCAGCAAATCCAAATAGCATAATACCCATTGTCAGTCTTTACTATTACTGTATGAAAAGAGGTCTGTTTGTTCTAAAAATATTTCTATAAATTTTTAACCTGTTTATCATTTGCTCTGAGAACATCTATCAATCTTTTCACTCCTTTTTGCTAAGCTTTCCTGTTTTATTAACACTGCATTGGTTTTTGTCTGGCTACCTTCCAGATCTATTATCATCAGTTTTACAGTGTTAGTAACACACAGTAAGGCTGGTACTGGCATAGGCATTCTGGTATACCTATACTGGCGTAGGTATTCGTTGCTCTAGATCTAAGCTTTGTCTTGTCTTCAGGATTACCATTGGTCTCGTAACAAGCATTTATTAAGCATTTATTATATATCAGGAACTGTGCTAAATGCTGAGGACACAAAGAAAGCCAAAAATAGCCCTTTAAGAAGCTCACGATCTAATGTAAACTACAATGCAAATAACTATGTACAAACAAGATAAAGACAAGAGAAATTGGAGGTAACCTTAGAGGGAAGGCATTAGCATTAAGGGGGACTGAGGAAGGTTTCTTGCAGAAGGTGGGACTTTAGGGGCAGCTAGGTGGCACAGTGGATAGAGCACTGGCCCTGAAGTCAGGAAGACCTGAGTTCAAATGCGGCCTCAGACCCAACACTTGACACTTACTAGCTGTGTGACTCTGGGCAAGTCACTTAACCCCAATTGCCTAAAAAAAAAAAAAAAAGAAAGAAGAAGGTGGGATTTTAACTATGACTTGAAGGAAGTCAGGAAAGCCAGGAAGCAGAGAGGAGGGGGAAGAGTATCTATAGACATGGAAGACAGCTAGCGAAAATGCAGAATTGAGAGATGGAGTGTCTTGTTTGAGGAACATCAGAGAGGTCAGTGTCACTGGATCATAGGTTATATGAAGGATTTTAAAGTGTGAGAAGACTGAAAAGGTAGCAAGGGACTTAAACTGTTTCCCTGGAAGATGCCACATCTTATATCAACAGTTCTTGACGTTATTGTGTTAATGGTATGTTTCCATGTACACATAAAAAATTCTAGCATTTTTGGATACAGCTTATATATTTGCAGTACATGAATAGGGCTTAAATTAAATCGAGTTGAAGGCTTTATGATAATCAATAAAGGCAGTGTATATGTTTCAGTGTTTTCAGGTGACTGTTTAATAATCACTGAATCAATAATGAATTGCTTTTGACATCTCTGGGACTTTTTGGTACACCCTTTTTGCTCCTCAGCTAACTTTTTTTTGGGGTATTTATAGATTTTTAGAATGATAAAAGTGATGAATACTTTATACAAAGTACATAAATACATAATTGACCTATTTTGCAGGGTCAATGGCATTTTCATCTTTTGGCAATAAATATGTGATTTTCATTTTCTTAAAAAAGATGGGATTCAGGCTTGCATTAGCAAGCAAGCTGGTAGAGGCTTTGTCACTAAGTCATGTACCACTGTGAAATACTTGAGCCAATAATTATGGATCTCATCTAGACAGCCACTTTCTTAATCTTTTCCCTTTATGTAACTGTTCTATCATTCATTATACTAATGGTATGTAAGATTTCTGTTTAACATTTTATCCAGCTTGTGCTTTTGTGGTGTTGGACTTCTTTCAACCATAAATTTTCCACATCTTTCTTCTTTAGCGGTTCTTTCTCATCTAGTTCCTTTGCTTTTCAAGCTTCTATGGCATAATTCTTGATTGAGGTTGAATTGTTGAATTTTCTTACACTGTTTTTGAATCCTTGTTTCCTTAAGTGTATCAATTAATGTTATCAATTTCTGATCTACCTTTATTTTCTGGATTTACATTTTGTTTGTCACATCTTTGTTGTTTTTAATGGGATGATATGAATTTCAGGTTTTCTATTGTGGGACCTTGAGAATGTCCTTGTATTGCTTCTTCTGCCCTTTGTGTGAATGCCTGCCTTGTGTGAATTCTCAGTATGTTTGGCATTTGAACAATGTGGCCAGCCCATTGGAGTTGTGTTCTCTACAATAGAGTTTGAATGCTTGGCAGTTCAGCTTGAGAAAGGACCTCAGTGTCTGGTACCTTATCTTGTCAGGTGATCTTCAGAATCTTCCTAAGACAATTCAAATGGAAGTGATTTAGTTTCCTGGTATGGCACTGGTATTCTGTCCAGGTTTCACAGACATACAACAATACAGTTACCACAAAGCTCTGTGGACCTTCAGTCTGGTAGGCAGCCTAACATGGCATGCCCACATCAAAGAAGGTGCTGTGCTCTATGAGCAAAGCAGAGTTGCAGTAGCTCAAAAGAAACCTGAGATGCTCAAATTTAGAGACATCTCCACTCCAAATGTTCATATGGACTATTTATGCCTGACCTGTGGTAGAGTCTTCTGAGCTTGTATTGGTCTGATCAGTAACAGTCAGAAACACTGTACCTTGACCCTGATGTAGTGATGTCACTTTGGTCCTCTTTAAACACAAAGGACAACAACCTATTGTGAGTACCAAGTTAGTTAGATATTTGATGTAGTCCTCCAATGTCTTTTCATAGGTGTTTAAGAGTTTTCTCAAGCTGCTTGTCCCATGAGGGCATTTGATGCTTTTCCTTAGGAATGCTCTCAGTTAGCTCCTCCTTTCCTCCTACGGTCCTTATCATGGCAAAGGCAGCAGTATATACTCCTGTGTTGTTGTTGTTTGGTCATTCAGTTATGTTCAACTCTTCACTATCCCAAGTCCATGGGGTTTTCCTGGCAAACACACTGCGGTGGTTTGCCATTTCCTTTTCCAGCTCATTTTATAGGTGAGGAAACTGAGGCAAATGGGGTTAATTGACTTGCCCACGGTTACACAACTAGTAAGTGTCTGAGGCTGGATTTGAACTCAAGAAGATGAGCTCTTCGTGACTTCAGGCCCGGGGTTCCATCCATCGTGCCACTTAGCTGCCTCTCTACTGCTGTGTACATGTCCTGAAATGTTTTATACTCTCTATCAAATATTATAGGAGAATGTAAATTCATGTGGGTTACAGCAGATACCAACCTATTTGAATTGCAGTCTTGGTAGTTAGTCTGCTATTTGAATATTTAAAAAGAGCTTTTCAAAATTCTAAATATGCCCATCTCTTCAAAATCACTTGAGGACAGTGGCATCAATTTCTCTATTTCATTATTGGATAGCAAACTTTTGGAATTTATGTTAAGTTTTGACTTTTTTTTTTTGGTTAGGCAATTGGGGTTAAGTGACTTGCCTAGGGTCACACAGCTAGTAGGTGTCAGGTGTCTGAGGCCAGATCTGAACTCAGGTCCTTCTGACTCCAAGGCCAGAGTTCTATCCACTGCGCCATCTAGCTGCCCCCAAGTTTTGATTTTTTCAGTGCTTTCTGGTTCTTTAGTTTTTCTCTTCTCAGATTTAAGTAGCTTCTCACTTTCCGCTGTTATTTCATCTAATCTGGGTCTTGGAATAAAGCTATCTTCCCTCAATTCCCCTGTAATGTATCTGCAATACAGAGCTGTTAAAAAGCAGTATGAAAGCTTTGCCAGCAACTGGTAAGATCTGTTTCTAATTTTGTTATGATGGAGCTCTAGCACATAAGAGAAGCAATTACATTTTTAGTTCATTTCATGTACACTAGTTGTTTGACTGTTTTAGTAGTCATTGTAGGGTATTGGTATTTCTGATTTGTTCTGATGTATCTTGTCTTCTTGCAGCACCAGAACATGTGGTGCCATCCTACTGTCCTTTGTGGGTTGTTTTTTTTTGGTGAGGCAATCGGGGTTAAGTGACTTGCACAAGGTCACACAGGTAGTACGTATCAAGTGTTTGGTCTGAGGCCAGATTTGAACTCAGGTCCTCCTGACTTCAGGGCCAGTGCTCTATCCACTGCCCACCTAGCTGCCCCTGTCCTTTGTGTTTAAGTAATCATCATGATGGCTCCAAGTAAACTCAGCCTAAAACCCTATGCTGTCCCATATATTTCTTATATTCACAGGAACAATTAATGATACTGGCTGGGGTACTTAGCCAAGTAGTGGTATTGCCAGAGACTAACTTATCAGCATTTCAGGGTTCCTGCCAAGCATTCAGAGTTCCTGTAGCAGTCTTAAGGTCTCTTAATATCTCTGCTGTACATCACCTTAGCTGGTATTCCCTAATTTTGCCATTACTTTCTTTTCCTCCTTCTTCCACCTCACAACATAGATAATGGGTTGGGCTTTGAGAAGGTTATTATTATCTCATTGCTCTCATCTTTTTAATAGGGTGCAGATAGAAAAAGTGTTGGGAAATTTGATACCCTACTATTACTGCTATTATTCTTCTATATTTAATGTTCTGTGGCCTTTTGCATAGTTGGATAAAATAACTACTTTTTGTAGATGAAAAAAAGTTTTAGTTTAAGTTTAATCCTCTGTAGGTCTACTGAAAGCATCCTTGGTAGCATACAGGACAACAGGGTTCACATGTACCTTATCCTGTTCTTATGTGATTTTTATTGTCTTCTGCTAGGTCTCTGTATTCTGAATGTTTTTTATTCTGTGTTGCTAGGAAGTATGAGGTCTTGGTTTGGAAACATATGCTAAAAATAATAAGGATTGAGAACTGTTTGGCGGATTAGGGAAATGTGAACCTCTATTTCCAAATTTATTTTATAACATACTTTAAAGTGTTTTACAACTTCATTTGACACATTATATACTTGAAGTTTTGAAGGTATTAATTAATTTTGATAGTGGAAGTAGGATAGAGCATTTATTCTTGTGATAAAGAGGACAGTTGTCAAGGACAGAATTATTCTTGCTTGACAAAGATAACAGTGGAGAGAAAGGGGAAAGAGAAAGAAATTGAACAAAGAAAGGGGAAGGAGAAGAATGTAGATAACAGAAGGGAGAGATTGGAGAGAGCATAGAAGCAAGAAGAGAAAGAAGAAACAAAGAAAAGAAGGGGGAAAGAGTTGGTATAAAAAGAGGCTTTATAGTTTATAAAGTGCTTTTACAATACATTATCTCATGTGTGACACTCAATAACCCTGTGAAGAAGGTAATAGGCTAGTGTTATTATAATTATCAATCTTCTAGTAGAATGAAAACTTCTGAAGGGCAGAGATTCTCTCATTTTTGTATTTGGATCCCCATTACCTGGTACACAGTCATTGCTTAATAAATATTTATTGATTGATTGATCCTCATTCTATATGTGAGAAAGCTGAGGTCAAGAGGTGAAAAGATTTACTCAAAGTGACACAAATAATTAGTGACAGGAGAGAAGTAAAAGCCAGATCTTTTGGCTCCAAGCCTAATTAATGCACAGTATTAGGGTCTCATAGTTTCATAGATTCAGAGCTGATAGGGATTTCAGAGGTGAGTAATCCAATCCCCTCATTTTACATATGAGGAAACTGAGGCTAGAGAGAATAAGTGATTTGCCTGCAGTCCCACAAGTTTGTGAATGGAAGAGCTAAGACTGGAATCTAGGTCCTGTGGCTCCAAACCCAGTATTTTTTCTCACTGGTACTATTCTTAATCGGTTTTAGTGTTTTCTTATAAATTCTCACTAACCTTTAAGATCCTTCAGGCAATTCATCAATCTATTCTTCTCGACCTTTCCATTGTCTAAAAAATGCAATAAGATACAAAGACTTTAGACATTGAGATAAGTGATCTACAAACTTAGCATCGAGGCAAACAAAGTACAATGATGAAAAACAGTATAGAGAAAGTGGGCAATTTTTCTATGGGACAGAGGAATTAGTGGATTGGTTTGCCTTAGAAAGTTATTTATAATCTTTTCCTCCAGATAGTATTATAGTTAAGGAAAGGAGAGTGGTTTCAATATGATGAATTAATACAGTTCATTAGAGAAAGTAGAGGGTTAAGGTCAAAGCGTAGGTGAAAAAGTTAGGATTTCAATGGTGGATGGATGCATTTTCCTCCAAAAGGGACAGATAAAGAAACAGACATATGTTGGGGTACAGGAAAAGGAAGGGAAAATAAAGGAGCTTCTGCTTATTGGTCTTGTCTTAGGGAGATGGGGGAATCTCAGCCCAATTTTTTTTCTTTCCTACTTTTAGCAGGTTGTAATGGAGAAACAGATAAATACTGTTACTTTGAAGGTAGCTGCAGGTTCATAGGTCTAGAAATATATCTGACAAAATAATCAGCTTTGCCACTATCACAGACTCACTAAAAATGCATCATTGCCTTGCATGTAAAAGATGCTTAATAAATGTTTGTTGAATTGAATTTAGTGGAATACAACTAATATCTTACATTTCTGTAATACTTTGCTGTAGCCTCTTCTCACAATGACATTGTGGGGTAGGTGGTGCTACTGTTTGTCTCATTTTATAGAGGAGAAACTAAGTAAATGTCAGAATCAGGACTTGAGTTCAAGTCTTCTGATTCCAAGGCTACAGAATTGTAGACATAGCTGGAAGGGACCTTAGTGGCCACTGAGTCCAACAGATGAAGAAACTCAGGTTAGGAGAGGTTAAAGTCATATTGCTAGTAAACGTCTGAGGCCCCATTTGAACTCAGGTCTTCCTGATTCCACATACAGCACTTTATCTATTGCACCACCTAACTGCCTTGAGTGCCTTCAGTACTCCATTACTTTTCATTTCATTCACTCATAAGTGCCCATTTTTAAATGCTTACTCTATGCAAGGTGGTTTGGAAACAAAGATTCTTCAGGTCCTGCCCAGGGAGAGTAACAACAAAGTTGAGATTTAAACTTCAGTCCTTGATTCCCAATCTAGTCCTCCTTTCCATGCCACCACACTTTCTTTTTGGAGGAATCTGAGGAGTCCTTTTAACACTAGCCCAGGCAAAGTTTAGACAAACATGAAATATTGTGAATCCCCAAATCTAAAGGAAACTGTTTACCAATTATTTCTAGATTGGCCAGAGCAGCAGTTTAGGCTTGCCTTCTCAGAGTCTAATGAAGGACAGGAAAATGTGTCCTCCATTTCTGGGGGTACAACTGAAACTTGAGGAGTGTGGAGTATCACCCCATGGTGAATACCCCTGTATCCCTCTGAGACAAATAAACTGAACAGCTTTGCCTCCTGTTTTCTCTTATACTGCTCCAGCTCTTTTGGCCCATAATCCCCAGCCCCTGTGCTAGACCATGGGTTGAGTGGAAATAAGATCACTTTCCATTTGAGGTAATATTGGGTTATTTCTTTCTATCACCCCTTAACTCTACTCTCTTCTACCTTCCCTCACCCACTTCCTTTATTTTTATTTTGCTATTCTTTTCATTTTATTTGCCCCCTTTTCTCTTTACTATTCCTTAGGCTTCCTAGATGCTAAAATGACCCTATCTTCCACTAGTTAGTCTTTTTAAAGATTTTTAGGCAAATTGGGGTTGAGTGACTTACCCAGGGTCAAACACCTAGTCAGTGTCAAGTGTTTGGTGTGAGGTCAGATTTGAACTCAAGTCCTCCTGACTTCAGGGCCGGTGCTCTATCCACCGTGCCACCTAGCTGCCCCTCCACTAGTTAGTCTTTATGCTTGCACTGAAGTTGAAGAACTCTGGCCTACGGAGTAGTCTGAGGCATCTTTCCTTAGTAAGTATCAGACATGTTCACACAAACAAGCCCAAGTTCCCCTGATGGCCACAGTATAATCTGGAACACTCACCATCAATTGGCAGGTGTTTGAGGAGATCCTGATATCCATCTTCTGTGAGTGTGATCCCCATGTTCTTCAGAAAGTTTTCCAGGTTTTGAACATCAACGTTTTCTGTTTATAAAAGACGGGAATGGTGAATGGTGGGAGTATGAGGAATCTGTAATGACTCTAGAGAGTGAAAGATGCCACCTATTCCTGTGTTCTATCATCTCCAAATGCAACAAAAAGAGGAAAGAAAAGCCTTTGAGATGAGCCTACACATAAAGAGAAAGTTACTTGGGAATCAGAAAGAAATTATTTCCTTCTGGTTCAGGGGACTATGCTAGATTGAAGAGGCCTACACTGAGGAATGTGAAATGGTCATTAGACAATTGTCTGGTGAAGACTGACAAATCAATGACACATTAAGCTACAAAGCTACCTAGGTTAGCTAAAAAGTAGGGCTCAGTTATCTTTGGCTCCTTTATCCCAATAGTTTCTGTTGGTCATACTGCAATCCTACACTTTACCACTGGCTTGAAGTCCTACAATTTTGTCTGTCTCGACACTGTAGCAAAAGTGAAGCATGAACATACTTCATTCCAGGAAATTCAAGACTTGCTACAAAGAGACTGGAGAGTATTTGGCAAGTTTGTAATTGTATTTAAATAGAGCGGTGATCATTTGACACATTCATCCACAATAGGGAGTATTGCAGTTGTTATCCTGGACTCCTGACTCTCACCACCCCATGTCCAATCAATTGCTAAATCTTGCCACTTCTCAGTCCATAGCATTTCTCACATTACCCCCTTTTATTTCTACTCACACAACCACATCCTTAGCTTAAGTCATCATCTATCTCTCTCTTGAAGAGATGTTATAATGGTCCCTAATCTGATTCTCTGCTTCAACATTTTCTTTCCCACCAATCCATCTTCCACAGAGCTGCCAAAGTTGATTCTCTTTAAGTGACCATGTCACTCAATAAATTCCCCTGGTTCCCTATTTCTCTTGGATCAAATATATAAATTCCTCTCTCTTTACTTTCCCCTTCCTACTTTCTGTTCCTCACATATGGACTCCCATTTCCTGCCTCTGTATTATCTTACTAGCTGTCTCCCATCTTCTCCTTACTTCCATCTCTTTCTTCAAGGTGAACCACAATCTCTGCCTTCTATGAGGAGGCTTTCCTGATTTCCCTACTGCTAGGACCCTTCCTCCCACATTATGTTGTATTTATTCTGCATATATTCACATATATACATCTTTCCTTTCACAAGAGAAGGCAAATTTCTTCTGAGCTGGGACTATTTCCTTATTTTTGTTTTTGAAAGTCTAGTCCTTAGCACAGATGTCACGAGCACTTAAATGTTTACAAATTGATCACCTGTATCATGCAGATAAAAACATTATTTATAATATATATTGTTAGATAGCTGCTTGAGAGGGGAAGTAACTTGTCTCACAGTCACACAGCTAGTAAGTGTCAGAGGCAGGTCATGAATCCAGAATTTTTGACTCTAAGGCTATATCTCTAACTCCTATGCGATGCTTCTTTTCATGGGTTTCTGTGAAAAACATTGAGATGTTTGTTTTTACTTGCCTTCTCATTATAATGTCTTACTCACTTTTAATAGATTTCATGTTATCCATAATTTTATTCAGGGCAACCTTCCCATCAGCTGTAAGACAATGCAGAGGTTAGACAGAGACCTAAGGATGCAGAATCTCATCAAAATAGTATTATATTACATTCTGAAATATATAAACCAGAGAAAGTTAGCATTTTTTTCTGAACTCAGGTAATTTTATCCTATATTTTCTAAAGATTAATTTATAATAGGCAGTTGAGGAATGAAGCAAGCTCTCTCTATATTGATGATGATGATGATGATGATAATAATAATAGTTAGCATTTACATAAGGCTTTAAGGTTTATGAAGTGCTTTTCAAATATTAACTCATTTTATCTTCACAAGAACCCCATGAGGCAGGTGCTATTATTATCTCCATTTTACAGATGGGGAAACTGAGGCGTAGAGAGATTAAATAACTTGCCTAGATTACACAGCTAGTATACGTCTAAGGCTTTGAATTCAGGTCTTCCTGACTTTGACTCTAGCTCTGTATCCACTGTGCCACTCAGCTCCCTCACAGAATATTCTGAGATCTTCTCTTCTCTTCGCTATTGACTATCAGAAGAATTTGTACTCAGACATTTCATTTTGGCATATAAGAGTGAGGACATTTTAGGCCCCTTCCTAGTTTCTGATCTCCACTTCCTGTTCTGTGAAAGGAAGGTACTAGACTAGGTGATCTCCCGGTCTCTTCCCAGCACGGATACAACATAACTCTGTGTACTGGGAAACTACTTTTTTTCTCCTTTTTTAACAACAAACGGAAAAGAAGAGCTATTTTTACTTTCAGTGTTCTGACCACAATCTTGTAGCTGGTTAATATTTTATGTGTCTTTGCAAATTTGCTTTGTGTAACTGGTTTAGTGTAAGACATTGTCTATGAGGAAACAAACATGTAACTTTTTTATAAAAATATATTTAAATGGCATTTAATTTATTCAGGTAGAAAAAGATATGGTTCATTTAGGAGACAATTCCTGTTAGTAAACTGACCTTGTTAAATGCCCAGAAATTAAAGCATTTAACTGAAGAACAAGCTTATGCTATTTAAGTCAAATGTAGGACAAACGGCATTTATATATGCTTTAAAACATACAAAGTACATTACATAAATAATGTCACTTAAGCCACACAACAACCCTGTGAATTCAGTGCTACAGGAAACATGAGTGGGTATGTATCCTCCAAGTATCATTCTCAACTCTTCCCTTTCCCCTCCTCCTCACATCCAATCAATTGCCAAGACTTCTTAATTTTGCTTCTACAATCTATTTGCTTGCATTTCTCCACCCACAGTCATATTGGTTTCCTGTATAAGACCAATAAATCTAAGTAAATAAGGGATCACTGTCAGAAGGTTCACCACTATATGATGATTTTTTTTTTTGGCCAAAGAAAAATGAAAGGATATACTTAGGTGTACATGGGTTATAGGCTGCTCACTCTACTCACACCAATGAAAACATGGATTTTTTGAATAAAAATAGCTAGCATTTACATAACATGTTAAGGGTTGCAATGTAATATATATTTATATGTATATATGTATTTATGTATATATGTTTTCTCATTTGAATCCTCAAGAACAACCTTATGAAGTAGATTCTATTACCACCCCTATTTTATAAATGAGGAAAAGGAGGTTAAGCACGAATAAGTGACTTGTCTGGGATCATACCAGTAAGTGTCTAAAGCAGGATTTGAACTCAGGTGTTCTTGAGCCCACGTCCAGCACTAGAAAATTTCATCTTGCTAGTTAGGATTCTCTGATCATAGTCACACTGGGTTTCTCTCCTTAAGGAGGATCACCAGGAAGCTCAGGTGGGGCCTGTGGGAAAGAGTAAGGAGTCTTTCATTTCTGGGTTCTACTAAGTGGCATTCTGGGAGACTCTTGACTTGAAGGTTCAGGCAGAGATAACATTTCATCATAGAGTATGATAAGCTTTCTCTGTAGGTATTTATTTCCTTTTATGTGATCTAAATAAACATCCTTTCAGAAATTCTCAGACAGAAAGGAAAAGGTTCCCTAGAGGCACACAGGGGCACAGGAAATGCTCACCATCAACTGGTAGGTTATTTAGTAGCTCCTCAATTTCTTGATCTGTGAGCTTGATCCCTAGGTTTTCCAGAACCCTGTCCAGGTTGCTAATGTTAACATTCCCTCCTTCAGAAAGCAGAAAATTGAAGAATATGACCAATAAATCAATCAAGCATTCAGTAAGTGCCTACTATATGTTAGGCCCTGTACTAAATCTTGGAAATACAAAACCAAGCCAAGTCAGCAGGCATTTCTTAAATGCTTACTATGTGTCAGCCACTGTACTAAATGCTGGAAATAAAAAGAAAATCAAAAGCATTGTTATTGTTGTTCAGTCATATCTGACTCTTCATGACTCTGTGGACCATACTATCCATGGGGTTTTCTTGGCAAAAATGCTGGAGTGGTTTGCCATTTTCTTTTCCAGTGGATTAAGGCAAACAGAGGTTAAGTGACTTACCCAGGATCATAGACCTTGCAAATATCTGAGGCCGGATTGCAACTCAGGTCTTTGTGACATGAGTAGCTAGGTGATGCAGTGAATATAGTGCCTGACCAGGAGCCAGGAACACTTGAATTCAAATCTGGCCTCAGACATTTCCTAGTGGTGTGACCCTGGACTGGTCACGTAACCTTGTTTGCCTCAATTTCCTCATCTGCAAACTAAGCTGGAGAAGGAAATGAGAAACTACTCTGGTATCTTTGCCAGGAAAACCCCACATGGGGTCATGAAGTGTTGGACACAACTGAAATGACTGAGCAACTTCCTAACTCCAGGCTCAGTGCTTTACCCACTGAGCCACCTTGCTACCTCCGAAGGCACTGTCCCTGCCCTCAAAGAGTTCACAGCCTAACAGTGGAGACAAATAAGAAAAATATGGAATTGTGCCAATGAGGGACAAATTGTATAAAGACTATATACAAAGAATTTCAAAACTTGATTCATTATTCCTAGTTTGAGGGTGAGATAATACAAATAACAATTCACATTTATAAAATACTTTCCAAATGCTCTCCAAACTAATTTTCAAATGGTGATAATCTTTAAGGACAAAAATGGCGAGTTATTGGGAAAGCTGGGAATATGATTTGTTCTTATAATCCTGGTCCAAGGGACCCTGACAAATTTTTCAAGAGAAGCCTTCATAAGCATACAGTAAGAAATGATTTGGACAAGGCTGATGGATTCTGGCAAAGCAGACAGTTAATCTACATACTTATCTACATACTTTTGGCCAGAGGTTTGAAGTTCTCTACAGTGACAAAAACTGGTGAATTGCCTCCTCCAAGGTGGCTCTATATAAAGAACTGGAGGTCATGAGGCAGAAACGCTGAATCAGTAAATTGGAATAATAATAGAATTCATGTTATAATCACCGAGAAATAAAACAGTTTCTCACTCACCATGGAGAGTCTTCACAGCATTCATTATGTTTTTCTTATTTATCTTCCCTTTGTCTACAAGAGAAGGTGAAATTCAGGTCACAGAGAATTATAAAAATAAGATAAAGTTCATCACTTAGCCTATAAAGATTGCCCTAATTTCTTCCTCTCTTCACCAAATAAGAATGAAGAAAAAGAGAAAATTCTCAAGTGGACAAATTCATGCCTTTTATTAAAATAGATTCTTCTTACTCTCTGGTAACATGGTCCATTATAGTTAATGGAGGATTTATTACAGATAAAAGCTTTGTTTCAATCAAGCACTATTTCACAAGCTCTTGACTCAAGTATCTTTATAAAGGAAGGAGTAGACAGCACTAGTTTGGAAACAGGCTATTTTTTTTTTGGTATCTGAAACTGTGAATCTCTTTTATGTATAACTTCTTTTAAAAAATATATGATAAATTTATCAAGGTATTTCCAACGTTGTGCTTCTTTGTGACTTCTAAACTCCTGTTCTTTTCTGTGCATTTTATAAATCTTTCGTTTTTGCTTTTCAGTTTTTTCATCACTATCACTACTTCTTTTTCTTCTCTATAACTGCCATTCTTCTACCCCCAATGTAAAGTAGAAGTATAATTAAGAAAAACATATTGATACAATGGCAAATGGTTAAATTATATGTCTTGTTCTGCTCCTATAGTCTTTAACTTCTTTGGCAAGAGATGAGAATTAAAATTCATCACTAGTCTTTTGAAGTCAGACCTCATTGTAGCAGTCTTAAGTCTTTCAAAATTGCTTTTGTTTATGATGTAATTATTTTATAAATTTTTTTTCTTGGCTCTGTTCACTTCACTCAGCTTCAGTTCATAAAAGTCTTTCCCTGTTTCTCTGAAGCTATCTTTTGTATTGTTTCTTATAGTGCAATAATATTCTATTACATGCATATATGATAATTTCCTTAGCTATTCCCCAATTGATATACAACCTGTAAGTTTCTAGTTCTTTGCTATAATAAAAAGTGCTAATATAAATTGTTTTTATACTTATAGGTCTTTTATCTCTTTGTTTGATCTCCTTAAGGACACAAGCCAAGTAGTGATATAGCTGGGTCAAAAGGCATGAGAATTCTACTTACTTTCTTTTTTTTTTTTTACTATAGGCCCAAATTATTTTGCACCTTCACCTTGCACCTCCGTTAAAATACCTATCTTTCCAGAGTCTCTTCAAATTTTCTGAATAAGTATATTAATTTAGCTAGTATTACTAGTTTTTATTATATTGACATGGCCCCAAAATGATAAATTAATATCTCTCCATTTATTTAATATTATTTCTGTAAAGAGCAATTTTGTAGTTGTGGGCATATAATTTCTCTTTATCTCAGTAGCTGGATTCTCAAATATTTTCTAATTCTGTAATTATTTTTAATGGAATATTTCTTTCTTTCTCTTCCTACTGTGTTTTGTGGGTAACACATGGAAAGTTTGAAATTTTGTGTGGTTTTATTTTATATTTTTATACTTTGCTGAAGTTGTTTCTATCAATTTTCAGTTGAATCTATAGGGTCCTCTAAATAAGTTGTCATATCATCTTTAAAAGTTGATGATTTTGTTTCCCTTCTGTGCGTACTTCTTTATTCACTTTATTTTTTTATTGCAATAGGTTGGAGGACATAAAAAATGGGGTCCAGTGACAATGGATATCCTTGTGTTATCCTAATCTTATTGGGAAAGGTTATCTATTTCTTATCTTAGCAAAGCCCTATTTGTTGCCACTTCCTTTTAAATAGAAAAGCTTTCTTAGTGAGTTTCCCAGTATGATAAGATGCTCAAACATATTCAAATGGATTTGTTTTGCAGTTCTCTGCAAAGCTGCAGATGGTAGAATGCTAAACTTGGAGTCTGAGATTTGGGTTTAAATTATGCCTCATATGATTACTAGCTGTGTGACCCTAGGCAAATCACATAACCTCTCTAGGTCTCATTTCCATTATCTATAAAATGAGATTAGGCCTGATGACCTATAAGATCTTTCTAGCTCTAAATATATCAGCAACCCACCCATGCCTACATATCTTGTATGACTCTTCTTTGTGTCTTCTGGGGAAACTGAGGGCATTGGAGCAAGAAATGGTGGTGGGAATTGAATGAACCACACTGATTCCATCTTATGACTCCTTTCTATTCAATTATGGGTTTGTCCAGTGTCTGTCCTGTGAGAAAACTTTATTTAATTATGGGAATTGTGAAAAAACTTCATTGCACTGTTTGAACCTAGCCCTGCATGGCTAGGAACCTGGACCACCGCAACCAATTGCTTAGAGACCCTTAACTAAGGACCTAGGAAGTCATGCTAACCAGAAACCCAGTTAGACCTGAAGATTGATGTAAGGACCTTTCTTGCAATTATACATCTCAAGCACCCCACGTGTCCTATCTGAGAATTGGCGCCATACTGATCAATCGATTATTGTTTCCATATTCCTTTGGTTGAGTATAGATACTTGGAGGGAGTAGGACACCTCGTTTCCTGATTTTAGAGAATTGCAACTGTTCATTCTCCCCTTCTGAACTTGCAAAGTCCCTTATCTTCCCTCCGATTAGAAATCAGGTTATGTAATGTTGTATCCTGGTTAATTGTTCCTTTTAATTAATTGGTCTTATTTAATTGTTTTTAATGTATAAAAGTCTGTTTCCCACTGTATTCAGGGTCCAGTGCCAAAGGTGAGGAAGGCTACTGGTCCTGATTTGTTGGGCAATTGGCATGCATTGCTTAATATATATTTATGTTTGGAAGCTCAAAACTTTTTTCTAAGTCATTTCATCTTTCACCTGCCATCCCTCCCAGATGTTTTCCATAAGGTTACTATGCAACGTGCTGGCTGCTTTCTTTGACCAGTGAAGGTACCAGAGAAGAATTCTGTTTATCCACTTCTTAGCCCCTCAAAGTTGCTCATTGGTTATATTGGTAACAGTCACCATATACCTCTCTATTCCTCTCTGTGTAATATAATTTTTAATTCTTTGGAGAACATTGTATTCCATGTTTCATTAGAAGTAACACTGACAGAATGTTGGTATTTAAAAATGGGCCTTTGTTTCCACAGGAATCTTGATATAAATAATGGAACCTTAAATTTCCCAAAGACAACTTACCTACTCTTCTCATCCTCAACTCTGGTCCATCTTTATTCTCTCCCAGATATACATACCCTATAGGGACAAACTCTACAGGTTTATGACATAAAGGAATGTCATGATCTGCATAATAGACATTCTTCATCTACTTGGCCTTCCCTGCGTGGATAGACAAACTCTTGAGTGGTTATAGAGCTCCTCTGGGAGACTCTGCAATATTCCAGTTTTTGATGCAACCAGTAAAAGATCATTTCCAAACAGGACTATTTGGAGGACTTAACCATCCACAAACCTCTTCAACTCTGACTCTGTACCACATCTCCTCCAACTTAGTAGTAAAAACTTTTGGGACCATATATTTCCCTGTTTTATGCCTCACCTGATGTTTGTGATCAGAAGTTCACTGAACAGGGTTATTTCTATTGTTATACTTTTCAAGGAATCTAGATTGATTTTTCTATATGGATAGGAGATAACCTTGTTGGAAAAGAGACTCCAATGTGTTCTTTTCATCTACTCAATCAAATACTTTTCATAATCAGCAAACAATAAGCAAAATGGGATCTTACTTTTCTATATCCTTCAGTCTACTATAAAATGACTAAGATGTGGTCTATTGTTGAATATCTCTTGCAAACACCTACTTGTTCCCTAATAATACCCTCATCAAGTATGCTCTTGAATTGTGTATAAGTGACCCATAATAAAGATTTTGTACTGGTGGGACAGTAGGCATACGGGTCAGTGACTGTTTTCTCGGTCATCTTTTTTTTGGCATTAATAAAGTCCAAGTTTTTTTTTTTTTTGTCATATCTCCCTCTCTTTCACGCATCTTTCCTACAGAGAAAAGTCTTGGAATGGTTTGAAGCTATTAAAGCTCAAAATTTCATTACGACTTTTGTGACAACCTGTATATATAGCAGTACTCTCACAATTGTGTCTTCTTCAGAACAAGTCTCTATAATATACATCTGTCCCAACTGGGCAGCTCTTCACATCTTTGTTATCTTGAATGTCATTTTTCTTACTCCTATAAGCTAATCTTGTATTGGGATGTTTGGGTATGTGTTCTCTTTCTATTGTCCTTGATTGTTTATTATACTAATCATTAGAGATCTTTTCCATTTTCTTTAATTTATTGTTCTATATTTATCCTTAACTGCACTGGAGATTACTGTGCTTTTAGTGGGATTCCTTACAAAGTTTTAAGTTAGTTTAACTTTTCACAGCTTCTCTATGCTTTATAAGACAATATTCCTCATAACTATCTATGTCCATCATCCTTCCCTAAAGGATTTTACAAAGAAGTTTATTAACTCAAACAATTGTTGCCATCCTCAACTAATGTTGCCATATTTCTTCACTTGGCATGCAAATAAACATTTATTGACTCGTTTGGTTTTCCTCTTGTGACAACAGATTTAGAATGGTTAAAGTTCTGCCTTTTAATGGCCATCCATGTCATTTTTGATGCCTATTTTCCATTTTGTTTGTTACTTCTTTAAATAATTCAGGATTGAATTGTTTCAACTGTAGGCCATATCTCTTTCTCACTATTATGCTCTTGTTATGTTCTTGACATGTCGTAAAAAATCATATCCAGAATATTACAACAAGAAGGTAATATATTCTTGCTATAATCTAATCTTTTTTCTTGAAAAGGCAGTGGTCTTATTGTTCACAAATGACCCAGTGATTACTCTTACATCAATAATAAGTTTTTTCTTATCTGTTGGGCATAATCTATTTCTATTTTTTTCTATTTTTGTTATTACTTATTATTTTTTATCTATTTTTTGCATGCTCTTTGATGCTCGCCAACCATAATACCTATCAACTTTTTTCTTGAGGAAGCTGTTCCTGATACAAATGCAGAAAGCTTCTGTATAGCCTACACATTGCTGGCGCTTCTCTTTCCGTTATCCTGAATACTTATCCTTAGTTCTACAATAAGGGATGACCAAAATTCCATGAAATCATGTTTTTTGTTGCCCTTGGATGTATGATAAGACTAACTCTACCAGCTCCTTCTTTGTTTGCCTCCTCAAGCCATTTAACTGGGCGACTATAGCTTTAATTTAGTTGCAAACTGTTTTACAAATATTAACTAATTTTTATACTTATAACAACTGTAGGAGGGAAGGAGGGAAGTACTATTATTACTTTCATTTTAAAGATGAGGAAACTGAGGTTTAGAGAGGTGAAGTGACTTGCCAACGGTGAAACAGCTTGTCAGTGTCTGAGGCCACAACTGATCTCAAACCTTTTCTGATTCCATACAGCACCAACTAGTGGCCATGAATGCCTTCAGTACTCTGTCACTTTTTTTTTTTAAAGGCGATTGGGATTAAGTGACTGGCCCAGGGTCACACAGCTAGTAAACTTCAGTCCTTGATTCCCAATCTAGTCCTCCTTTCCATGACACCACACTTCCTCTTTGGAGGGATCTGAGCAGTCCTTTTAACACTAGCCCAGGCAAAGTTTAAACAAACATGAAATATTGTGAATTCACAAATCTAAAGGAAACCATTTACTGATTATTTCTGGGCTGTCCAGAGCAACAGAGTTTAGGCTTTCCTTCCCAGAGTCTAATGAAGAACAGGAAAACATCTCCTCCATTTCTGTGGGTACAACTGAAACTTTACGAGGAATGTGGAGTGTCACCCCATGGTGAATATCCCTGTATCCCTCTGCCCTGAGACAAATAAACTGAGCAGCTTTGCCTCCTGTTTCCTGTCATACCCCTCCAGCTCTTTTGGTCTATAATCCCCAGCCCCTATGCTAGACCACTGGGGTTGGGTGGAAACAAGATCACTCTCCATTTAAGGCAATGTTAAGTTACTTTTCTCTTACCTCTTAATTGCACTTTCTTCTACCTTCCCTTGCCTACTTCCTTTATTTTAATTTTTCTATTCTTTTCTTTGCATTTTACTTGCTCCCTTTTCTCTTTACTACTCCTTAGGCTTCCTAGTTGCTAAAATGGTATTATCTTCCCCTGGTTAGTCTTTATGCTTGCACTGAAGTTGAAGAACTCTAGCCTAGGGAGTAGTCTGAGGCATCTTTCCTCAGTATCAGCCATTTTCACACAAGCAAGCCCAAGTTCCCCTGACAATCACAGTATAATCTGGAACACTCACCATCAGCTGGCAGGTGTTTCAGGAGATCCTGATATTCGTCTTCTGTGAGTGTGATCCCCATGTCCTTCAGAAAGTTTTTCAGGTTTTGAACATCAATGTTTTCTGTTTACAAAAGATGAGAATGGTGAATGATGGGAATGTGAGCAATATGTAATGACTCCAAAGGGTGAAAGATGCCACTTATTCCTATGTTCCATCATCTTCAAATTCAAGAAGAGGGGAGTTAGCCTTTGAGATGAGCCTACACATAAAGAGAAAGTTACTTGGGAATTCAGAAATAGAAATTATGTCCTTCTGGTTCAGAGGACTATGCTAGACTGAAGAGGCCTACACTGAGGAATGTGAAATGGTCATTTGACGATTGTCTGGTGAAGACAGACAAATCAATGACCCATCAAGGTACATGGGTCTAGCTAATAAGTTGGGCTTCTTTATCCTGCCTTTAGCCCAATTGTTTCAACCTGTCTGAATACAATCCCACTCTTCACCATGGCTTAGAGACCTAGAACGTTGTCTGTTTCAAAATTAGGAAAAATGAAGCAAGAACATAACACATTAGGTTCCAGGAAATTCAGGACTTGCTACAAAGGGACTGAAGAGAATTTTGCAAGCTTATAAGTGGATTTAAATACAGTTATGATCATTTAGCACACTTATCTACAATAGGGAGCGTCACAGTTGTTATCCTGGACTCCTGATTCTTTCTCACCACTCCATATCTAATCAGTTGCTGGATCTTGCCACTTCTTCCTCCATAACATCGCTCACATATACCCCCTTTTATTTTTACTCACACAGCCATATCCTTAGCTTGTCAGCATCCATCTCTCCTTTGAAGAGCTTCTAATTGGTCCTCATACCTCAATAGTCCCTTATTCCTCCAATTCTCCATGTTTCACAAAGGCATCAATCTGATTCTGTTTAAGCACAGATCTACTGACTGTGTCACTCAATAAACTGCCTGCTTCCCTATTTTTCCTGGATCAAATGCATAAGTTCCTGTCTCTATGGATTTTACAACCTGGCCCCAACGTATCTTTCTAGTGTCATTGTATATCACTTTCCCTTGCCTACTTTCTGTTCCTCACACATGGCCTTCCATTTCCTGTCTCCATATTATCTTACTAGCTGTCCCCTATGGTCTCCTTACTTCTTTGTCAGAGTCCCTCTCTCTTCCTTTAAGGTGAACCACAATCTATGAGGAGGCTTTCCTGATTCCTTCACTGCTAGGACCCTCCCTCCCAAATTATGTTGTATTTATTCTGCATACATTTACAAGTGTACATGTTTTCTTTCCCAAGAGAAGGCAAACTCCTTGTGAGCTGGGATCATTTAATTTTCTTTTTCTTTTTATCTCCAGTGCCTAGCACAGATATTGTGGACACTTACATGTTTACAAATTGATCATCTCTGTCTGTGCAGATCAAGAAATTATTTATAATATATGCTGCTATTTAGTATGCTGCCTGAGAAGGGAAGTAATTTGCCCCATAGTCACACAGCTAGTAAGTGTCAGAAGCAGGTCATGAATCCAGGACTTCTTGACTCTAAGGCTATACCTCTCTCTACTATGCCATGCTTCCTTTTATGGATTCTTTCTGAAAAATGTTGAGATGTCATTTTTACATGCCTTCTCATCGTAACTTCTTACTTACCTTTAATAGATTTCACATTATCCATAAGTTTATTCAGGTCGACCCTTCCAGTAGCTGTAAGATAAGGCAGAGGTTAGACAGAGACTTGAGGATACAGAGCCTCACAAAAATGGTATTATATACATTTTGAAATTATGAGATAAGCCAGAGGTACTCAAGAGTTTTCTCTGAAGTCAGGAATTTTATCCCATTTTCTTTGAAAATTAATTTATAATTGGCAGCTAAGGAATAAAAAAAAAGCCATCAATCTGTAAACTGAAGATAATCATAGTAATAATAATAGTTAGCATTTACATAAGGCTTTAAGATTTGCAAAGTACTTTTCAGGTGTTCCTTTTTACAGATGAGGAAAACGAGACTTAGGTTAAATGACTTGCCTAGGTTACACAGCTAATACTTGTCTCAGGCTTTGAACTCGGGTCTTCTGGATTCTGGGTCCAGTTCTATATCCACTATATCTACCCAGCTACCCACACAATCATTCAGGGAGCTTAACTTCTATTTGCTAATGAATATTAGAAGAACTTTTATTATAATCAAATATTATATTTTCATATATAAGATTCAGCACATTGTAGGAATAAGATTAAAAAATTGGCCCCTTCCTTGGCTTCAATTTCCTCCTCTATGAAATGAATGGGCTAGACTAGGTAATCTCCATGTCCCTTCTCAGCCTGGACATGATATGACCCTGTGTACTAGGAAACTCCTTTTTAAAATTTTTTGATAATAGAAGCAAAAGATGACCACAATCTTGTATGTAGTTAATAGTTTATGTATCTTTGCAAATTTGTTTCATCTAATTGGTTAAGTATAAGATACATTGTCTATGAGGAAATGAAAATTTAACTTTATTATAAAAATATTATGTGTAAATAGCATTCAAATTATTCAAATGGAAGCAGGTATGGCCCCTTTAAGAGAAAAATCTCATTTAGTAGGCTCACTTTGTTTAAATTCCAGAAATTGAGACATTTAACTAAAGAAGTTTATGCTATTCAAATCAAATGTAGGATACATGACATTTATATATCCCTTTAAAATGTACAAAGTGTAGGCCTCTTCATTCTAGCATAGATTGGACCAGAAGGAGACAATTTCTATTTCTGAATTACCAGGTGACTTTCCATTTATGTGTAGGCTCATCTCAAAGGCTAACTCTCCTCTTCTTGTTAAATTTGGAGATGATAAGAATAGGAATAGGTGGCATCTTGCACCCTCTGGAGTCATTACATATTTCTCACATTCTTTTTTCCTTGATAATTTCTTGAAAGATGATGTCCAGGCTCTTTTTTGATCATGGCTTTCAGATAGTCCAATAATTTTTAAATTATCTCTCCTGGATCTATTTTCCAGGTCAGTTGTTTTTCCAGTGAGATATTTCATTTTGTTTTCTATTTTTTCATTCTTTTGGATTTGTTTTACAGTGTCTTGATTTCTCATAAAGTCACTAGCTTCCAGTTGCTCTATTCTAATTTTTAAGGAAGTATTTTCTTCAGTAAGCTTTTGGACTTCCTTTTCCATTTGTTCAATTTTGCTTTTTAGGGCATTTTCCATTTGTCCAATTTTGCTTTTTAGGACATTCTTCTCCTCATTGGCTTTTTGGACCTCTTTTGCCATTTGGGTTAGGCTATTTTTTAAGGTGTTATTTTCTTCAGTATTTTTTTGGGCCTTCTTTAGCATCGCTCTCAGTTTTTCCTCTGCTTCTCTTACTTGCTTCTCAAAATCCTTTTTGAGCTCTTCCATGGCCTGGGACCAATTCATATTTTTTTGGAGGCTTTGGATGTAGGAGCTTTGGCTTCATTGTCTTCTGGTTGTGTGTTTTGATCTTCTTTGTCACCAAAGTAAGATAATATATTCTGACTCTTTTTGTGCTGCTTGCTCATGATCCTGGCCAATTACTAGAGTTATAAACTCTTTGTTAAGGTAAGAGTCTGTTTCCAGTGTGGAGAATGTACTGTCCCAAGCTTCAGGAGTTTTGTGCAGCTGTTTTCAGAGATACTTCTAGGGACCTGTAAATTTTCAGTTCTTCCAAGGTGCTATGATCTAGGGGCAAGGTGTTTACTCCTTTCCTGACCTGTGCTCAGTTCTATGAGCACTCTTTTCTGTCTTGGAACGTGAGGAGGATTTCCTGTCCACAGGCACTACAAGCTCCACCATGCCAGAGCTCCTCCTTGCCCAGGACCGCCACCCAGAACTGTGACCCAGATCCAAGCACAGACAAAGCAAGAGAATCCTGCACCAGCAGAGAGATCCCTGCTATCCCCCTCTGATCAGCCACTTGATTCCCCCTTAGTCTGTGGGCTGGAAGCTCAGGAGGCAGTCCCCGCCCTACGCCTTGCTTGGGGAATGGAGCTGAGACCACTGTGCTTCTCTCTCAGCACTGCAGAAACAGACTTTTCCCACTGACCTTCTAAGTTGTCCCTGGCATTCGTGGGTTGAGAAGCCTGGAAACCACCACAGCTGCCCACGATTCAGTCCTCTGAGGCCTGCTCCAGTTTCGCTGTGGCCTTCGTACCCACGCCAAACTGTGCTCCGCTTCCAGCCCAGCGTGATATACCTTTCTGATCAACCATCCAGGTTGTCTTGGGCTGGAAATTTGTTTCACTCTTTTTGTGGGTTCTGCTGCTTTAGAATTTGTTTAGAGCCATTTTTTTAGGTATTTGGAGGGGTTTGGGGGAGAGCTCAAGCAAATCACTGCTTTCACTCTGCCATCTTGGCTCCTCTATTTCTCACATTCTTATTTTTCACGATTCTCCTCTTTTATAAACAGGGTTGCTGTGAGTTCAGTGCTACAGGAATCATTACTAGGTATGTAGCAGATAAGTGGTGCAATGGAGAGAGGGTCAGGCCTGGAGTCAAGAAGACTCATCTTTCTGAGTTCAAATCAGGCCTCAGGCACTTATTAGCTGTGTGACCCTGGGCAAGTCACTTTACCCTGTTTCCATCAGTTTCCTCAATTATAAAATGAGCTGGAGAATGAATGGCAAACCACTCCAGTATCTTTGCCAAGAAAACCCCAAATGAGGTTACAAAGATTTAGACAGGACTGAAAAACAACTGAACCACAATAAAAATCTTCTGAGTGTTATCCTCAACTCTTCCTTTTCCCCTTATTCTCAAATCCAATCAATTGCCAAGACTTGTTGATTCTCCTTCAATAATCTATCTGCTTGCATTTCTCAACCCACACTCACATCGCTCATTTGCATGTGTCAATTTAATTTAGTTATAGTATTCACTTTGCTTTTTGGCCATAAGTGACTCTTTTTTTTTTTGCAAGTCTATTGGGGTTAAGTGACTTGGGCTCCATCCACTGCACCACCTAGCTGCCCCCGTGACTCTCAAAGGCACCCTAAGAAATGAGAGAATGTTTGCAAAATATGTTGGTGAATGGAATACTCACACTGACAAGGACATGGATTCTTGAAATAATGAAGACTCATACCCCTTGACGACTGGCCAGAAGCGCCTAGAGCTGAGGCACCTGTATTTTTTTTTTCTATGAAATCATGAATTTTGGTACCAGTTAGAGGCCCTGTTTAGTCTTTTCAACTGCAAACCACTTTTTAAACTTATAACTTATAACACACATATGTTCTATTTACATAGTCATGTAAATTTTTTGTTGTTTTTGGGTTTTTTGGGGTTTTTTTTGGCTAGGCAATGGGGTTAAGTGACTTGCCCAGGGTCACACAGCTAGTAAGTGTCAAGTATCTGAGGCCGGATTTGAACTCAGGTTCTCCTGACTTCAGGGCCGGTGCTCTTTCCACTGCGCCACCTAGCTGCCCCTACAGTCATGTAAATTTTTAAAAACTCTGCTAGTACATCAACAGTGTTCTACTGTACAAGACAAATAAGGCTAAGTGGATAAGGGATCATCTTAATAGATTGGCCATTAGATAATGATTTTTTTTTTGGTCAAAGAAAGATGAAAGGAAATACTTAAGTGTGCACTGGTTGCATTCTGCTCAATATACTCACACCAATGAAAACATGGATCTTTTGAAATAATAATAACAACTAGTATTTATATAGTACTTTAGTTTGCAACAACATATATGCATATATATGTTTAATTTTTTTTCTCATTTTACTCTCATAGCAACTTGTAGCAGGTACTATTACTATGCCCATTTTAGAGCATATGGGAAAGGGAGGTTAAGTGAGGACAAGTGATTTGTCCAGGATCATAATGTAAGTGTCTAAAGCCGGATTTGAAATCTGGTCTTCTTGAGTTCAAATTCAGTACTAGAAAATTTCATCTGGCTGGTTATGATTCTCTGATTCACATTGGGTTTCTCTCCTTAAAGAGGACCACTAAACAACAGCTCAGGTGGGGCCTGTGGCAAAGAGTAAGGAGTCTTCCATTCCTAGGTTTTACTCAGTGGCATTCTGGGAAACTCTTGACTAGAAGGTTCAGTCAGAGGTAATATTTTATCAAACACTGTGATGGGCTTTCTCTATAGGTATTTCTATCTTTTCATGTGAACTAAATTAAGATCCTTTCAGAAATTCTCAGACAGGAAATCAAAGCTTCCCCAAAAGCACACAGGAGCAAAATGCTCACCATCAATTGGCAGGTGACTCAATAGCTCCTCAATTTCGCTATCTGTGAGCTTGATCTCCAGGTTTCCCAGAACCTTGTCCAGGTTGTTACTATCAACATTCCCTCCTTCAGAAAGAAGGAAATTAAAGAATGTAATCAATCAAGCATTTATTAAGTCCTTATTATACGTTAGATACTGTACTAAATTGTAGGGATTCAAAGCTAAGTCAAGTCAATAAGCATCTATTAAGTGCTTACTATATGCCAGGCAACATGTTAAGTGCTGGGAATAAAAAGAAAATCAAAAGTAATATCCCTGCCCTCAAGGAGCTCACAGTCTAATGGGGGAGACAAATAAGAAAAACATGGAATTGTGTTCCAGAGGGACAAATTGTATAAAGCCTATATGTAAATACAATTATCCTATGAATTTCAGAACTGGATTCATCATTCCTAGATTGAGGGTGAGATAATACAAATAACAACTCACATGTATAAAGTATTTTCCAAATGCTCTCCAAACTCATGTTGAAAGACACGTGACAATTTCTAAGGCTATACATGGAAAGTCATTGGGAGAGCTTGGAAGATGACCTATTATTATGATCCTGGTCCAAGAGACCCTGACAATCTTTTCAAGAGAAACCTTCATACGACACAGTAAGAAATGAATTGGTTAAGGCTGATGGATTCTGGCAAAGCAGACAGCTCATCTACACACTTTAAGCCATGGGGTTTGAAGTTCTCTACAGTGACAAAATCTGGTGAATTGCCTCCTCCAGTGTGTCGGTACAGAAAGAATTGGAGGTCATGAGGCAGCAATGCTGAATCAATACATTGGAAGGATAAGAGAATTCATGTTATAATCACTGAGAAAAAATAAAATTTTTTCACTCACCACTGAGATTCTTCAGGGCATTCATTACATTCTTCAGCTTCACCTTCCCATTTGCTGTAAGTGAAAGTACAATTCAGGTCACAGAGGAAGTAACAGAGAATTACAATAGCACAGAGTTCATCATTTTATAAACCCAGCCTATAAAGACTGTCCTATGCCTTTCTTGCTCCCCCAAATGAGAATGAAGAAAGAAGAAAAGCTGTTAAGGGGATGAATCTGTCCCTTTCATTAACACAGATTCTTCTGACTTTGTGGTAAAAAATCCATTATAACGAATGGACGATTTATTGTAGAGAAAAGCTTTTCTTCAAATAGGCATTATTTTAGTGCAGCTAGGATGCAGTGCATAGAGCACCAGCCCTGAAGTCAGGAGTACCTGAGTTCAAATCCAGCTTCAGACCAAACACTTGACACTACTAGCTGTGTGACCCTGTGCAAGTCACTTAACCCCAATTGCCTTAAATAAATAAATAAATAGGTATTTTTCACAAGCTCTTGAGTACCTTTTTAAAGGAAATAGTAGATGGTGCTGGTTTGGAAATAAGCTTTTTTTTTTTGTTATGTGAAACTGTGAATCTGTATTATGTATAACTTATTTTAAAAGTATATGATAAATTTAACAAGGAATTTCCTACATTGTGCTTCTCTCTGATTTTTTCTGAATTCCTTTCTCTTTTGTGTATTTTGTATATCTTTCATTGTTTTTTATACCTTTATTCTTTTCTTTTTCATCACTATCACTACTTCTTTCTCTTCCCCATAACTACCATCCATCTACCCCCAATCAGAACCCTAGCTTATAGCAAATAAAAATTTAATCAAAGAAAACATATGTCTTGTTCAACTCCTCTAGCAAAAGATGTCAGTTTTGATTCATCACCAGTTTTCTGAACTCAGAGCTCCAATTTTCAGTCTTTCAAAGTTGCTTTTATTTATGATGTAATTATTTATAATTTTTTCTTAAAGCTGCTCACTTCACTCATCATCAGTTCACAAAAGTCAGTGTTTCTCTGAAGCTATCCCCTGTGTTGTTTCTTATGGGACAATAATATTCTAATTCACTAATATGCTAATTTTCTTAGCCATTTCCAAACTGATACTCAGTCTGCAAATTTCTAGTTCTTTGCTATAATAAAAAGTGCTGCTATACGGTTTTTATTTTGTACCTGTGGTATCTCTGCACCTATGCTACCTAAGTACTTCCTTTATCTCTTTTTTTGATCCCTTTAAGGACATAAACCAGATAGGTATATGGAGGGATCAAAGGGTATGAAAAGTCTACCGACTTTTTTAGTATTGCTTTTCAGAATGGTTAGACCAATTCAAATCTTCACCAACACAGAATTAATGTAACTTTTTTCCTAGGGCCTCTCCAAATTTTCTGACAAGTACATTTATTGAGCTAATATTGCCAATTAAAATTATATCAACATAGCTCAAAAATATGAAATTAATATTTCTCCACTTATTTAATAATGTGTTTCTTTCTATAAAGGGTATTTTTTTAGTTATGTGCATATAATCTCTCTGTCCATCTTGATAGCTGAACTCCCCAAAATTATATAATTCTGTAGTTATTTTTAATGTAATACCTTTAAAAAAATCTCTTCCTGCTTTGTTTTGTTTGTTACATATAGAAAGTTTGAAAATTTGGGTGGTTTTATTTTATATTTTTCTACTTTGCTGAAGTTGTTTCAATTAAGCTTTACTTGAATCTCTAGGGTCCTCTAAATAAACTGTCATATCATGTGTAAAAAAATAATAATTTTGTTTCCCTTCTGCCTGTACTTCTTTCTTCAATTTATATTTTTTATTGCAATAGATGGAAATACATCAAATCATAGTGATGGTAACAGAAATCTTTGTTTTACCCCAGCCTTGCTGGGAAAGGTCATCCATTTCTCATCCAAAGACAGTTCTATTTGTTGCCAAATAGAGCACACACCCATTTAAGTAGAACAGCTTCCCTAGTGAGTTTCCCTGTATGATAAGATGCTCAGACATATTCAAACGGATTTGTTTGGGAGTTCCCTGCAAAGCTTTAGGTGGCAGAATGCTAAATTTGGAGTCTGAGATTTGCGATTAAATTATGCCTCATATGATTACTAGCTATGTGACCCTAGGCAAATCACTTAATCTCTTTGGGTCTCAGTTTCATTATCTATGAAATGAGGAGTTTGGATCAGATGACCTCTAAGGTCCCTATTAACTCTAAATACATTACTAAGCCATCCATGCCTACATATCTTATGTGACTTTTGTCCATGTCCTGCCAGAATTTTGCCATAAGGCTACCACCCCCTTACTGGGTGCTTTCTTTTCCCCATACTGACATTATCAGGGTATTAGTGGAGCACTCTGTATATCTACTTGTTAACCTCTAACCCTTGACCTTTCTTTAAAAAAATTTTTTTTTCATTTTTAGGCAACTGGAGTTAAGTGACTTGCCCAGGGTCACACAGCTAGTAAGTGTCAAGTGTTTGGTCTGAGGCTGGATTTGAACTCAGGTCCTCCAGACTCCAAGGCCAATGCTCCATCCACTGTGCCACCTAGCTGCCCCTCCCCTTGACCTTTGATAGCCACATTTTAGTCCTGTTCTTCAAAGTTACTAATTAGATATTTTTGTAGTTTGGTAAAACCTGCCATGTACCTCTCTATTCCCCTGTGTGTGATACTCATTTTTTAATTCTTTGGAGAGTGCTGTAGTCCATGTCTTATTAGAAGTAATAGTGGCAGAACATTGGTTTTAAAAATGGGCCTTTGTTTCCACAGGAAACTTGGTATAATTAATGATAGCAACTTAATCTACTCTCCTCCTCTTCAAGATAGAAGAATTGCTGGTCTTTATTCTTTCTCATAGGTCAGGGGTGGAGAACCTGCTGCCTGGAGGCCACATGTGGCTTTCTAGGTCCTCAACTAAGACCCTTTGATTGAATCCAAACTTCACAGAACAAATCCCCTTATTAAAAGGATTTGTTCTGTGAAGTTTGGATTCAGTATAAAAGGATTTTTTCTATGAAGCTTGGATTCAGTCAAAGGACTGCACTTGAGGCCCTAGAGGGCCACATGTGGCCTTGAATCCACAGGTTCCCCATTCCTGTCCTAGATATACATATTCAGGTACAAACTCTATAGATTCGTGACATAAAGGCATGTCGTGATTTGTGTAATGGACATTTTTTAATCTACTTGGCCTTCCCTGTGTGAATGGTTTACGCAAACTCTTGAGTGGTTACACAGCTTTTTCCCAGAGGCTATGCAATATTCCAATTTTTGATGCAACCAGCAAAATGTCACCTGAACAGGACTATCCAGAGGACTTAACCATCCATCAAGAAACCATCTTCAGCTTGGACTCTATACCAGATCTCTTTCATTACAGAGGTGAATATCTTTTGTCACTGTATATATCTCCCTTTTAACCTGATGTTAGAGGTTCATTGAACAGGGTTATTTCTATTGTTATATGTTTTAATGGAACCTATGTGGGTTTTCAAATATGGACAAGAAATACCTTGTTGGAAAAGTGACTCTAAGGTGTTCTTTTGCTCTACTGAATCAAAAACTTTTTCATAATTGGCAAACAATAAGCAAAATGTGGGCTTATGTTTTCTACAACTTTCATTCAAGTACAAAATGACAAAAATGTTGTCTGTTGTTGAATAGCTCTTGCAAACACATCCTTGTTTCCTACTAATACCCTCATCAAGGATGCTCTTGAATTGTATATAATAACTCATATAAAGATTTTATGTTGGTGAAAAAATAGGCATATAGATCAGTGATTGTTGATTTTTTCTCAGTCTCTAATAAATAGATATTTATTAATAAGATCCAAGTTTTTTTTCATATTCTCCTCTTTCAGAAATCTTTCATATTATACAAGGTGTCTCAAAAGTCTAAGTATAGTTTAAAGCTATTAAGGCTGAAAATTGCACTAAGACTTTTGGGCCTTTTTATCCATCAGTACTCTCACAATTGTGTCTCCTTCAGAACAACTTTCTATATATACTTGCTCCAACTGGGTAGCTTTTCTCATCTTTTTTCTCTTTAATGCTATTTCTATCCCTCCTATAATCATCCTGGATTGTGAAGTTTGGTTACAAGTATTCTCTCTCTACTGCTTTGGATGGCTTGTTATAGTTTGTTATAGTAATCACTAGAGATTTTTTCCATTTTCTTTTATTTATTATTCTATATTTACCCTTAAATGCACTAGATATTACTGTGCCTACAGGGATTCCTTACAAAGTTCTTTAGACTGGTTTAACTTTCCATAGCTTCTGTATGCTTTATGATACAATATTGCTTAACTAGTCCACAATCCTTCTCTATGAGATTTTATAAAAAGTTTACGTTGGGATATTTCTCCACTTGCCATATAAGTCAAACATTTACTGACTAAAGTGATTACTGGGCTTGTTTGATTTTCTTCTTGTGTCAACAGATTTAGAGTGGTTAAACTTCTGACTTTTAATTGTTTTCAATGTCATTTTTGATGCCTGTTTTCCATTTTTATTGTTTATTACTTATTTAAATAATTCAAGATTCAGTCATTTTAACTGTATGTTATATCTCTTTCTCACCATTATGTTCATAATTTTAAAATTATTTATATATTCTTTATATGTCATATTAAATATAATATCCAGAATATTATAACAATATTATAACAATATAATATTGTTTTTATATTCATACCTTTTTCTTGACAAGGCAGTAGTCTTAATTGTTCACAGCTAATGTAATGATTACTCTTACATCAATAATAACTCTTTTCTTACCTGTTAATATATAATCTATTTCATTTTTTATAGTGCTTTTTAATGCTTGCCAACCCTAGCACCTGCCAGTTCTTTTCTTGAAGAAGCTGTTCCTGATACGAGTGCATAAAGCTTGTATATAGTCTACACTTTCCCTTATCCTGAATACTTATCTTTAGTTCTACAATAAGGAATTACTGAATATTCCATGAAATCATGTTTCTTGTTGCCCTTGGATGTATGATAAGACCAAGTCCACCAATGTCTTCTTTGTTTGCCATTTAACTGTGTGGCTATAGCTTTCATTTGGTTGCAAAATGATTTATAAATATTAGCTCATTTTATCCTCAAAACAACTTGAGGTGGCAGGTACTATTATTATTTCCATTTCACAGATGAAGAAACTGAAGCAATCAGAATTTAAGTGACTTTCCCAGGGTTACATTGCTAGTAAATGTCCAAAGCCCCATTTAAATCCACATCTTCCTGATTCCACACAAAGCACTTTATCTACTGCACCACCTAGCTGCTACGAGAGCCTTCAGTACTCTATTACGTTTCATTTCATTCACTCACAAATGCCCATTTTAAAAATGTTTACTCTATGGAAGATGGTAGGGATACAAAAATTCTTTGGGTCCCACCCATTGAGAGTTAACAACAAAGCTGAGATTTGATGACACCACACTTCCTCTTTGGAGGCACCTGAGGAGTCCTTTTAACATTATGAATTCGCAAAACTAAAAGGAAACTGTTTACTATTTCTAGGTTGGTTGGAGCAGCAGAGTTTAGGCTTGCCTTCTCAGAATCTAATGAAAGACAAGAAAATGCTCCCTACATTTCCCTGGGTACCACTGAAATTTTATAAGGAGTGTAGAGTGTCATCCCATTGTGAATATCCCTGTATCCCTTTGCCCTGAGACAAATTAACTGAACAGCTTGCTTCCTGTTTTCTCTCATACTGCTCTAGCTCTTTTGGCCCGTAATCCCCAGCCCCTATGCTAGACCACTTGGGTTGTGTGGGAATAAGATCACTTTCCATTTGAGGCAATATTGGGTTACTTTTATGTCACTCCTTAACTTTACTGTCTTCTACCTTCCCTCACCCACTTCCTTAATTTTTATTCTTCTATTCATTTCTTTTCATTTGACTTGCTCTCTTTTCTCTTTACTATTCATTAGGCTTCCTAGTTGCTAAAATGACCTTATCTTCCACTGGTTAGTCTTTATGTTTACTCTGAAGTGGAAGAACTCTAGCCTAGGGAGTAGTCTGAGGCATCTTTCTTTAGGAAGAAAGTATCAGACATTTTCACACAAGCAAACCCAAGTTTCCCTGATGGCCACAGTGTAATCTGGAACACTCACCATCAATTGGCAGGTGTTTCAGGAGATCCTGATATTCTTCTTCTGTGAGTGTGATCCCCATGTCCTTCAGAAAGTTTTCCAGGTTTTGAGCATCAATGTTTTCTGTTTACAAAAGATGAGAATGATGAATGATGGGAATGTGAGGAATGTGTAATGACTCCAGAGGGTGAAAGATGCCACTTATTCCTATGTCTTATCATCTCTAATCAACAAGAAGAGGAGAGTTAGCCTTTGAGATGAGCCTACACATAAATGGAAAGTCACTTGGTAATTAAAAAATAGAAATTATTTCCTTCTGGTTCTGGGAAATATACTAGACTAAAGAGGCTTACATTAAGGAATGTGAAATGGTCATTAGACAATTGCCTGATGAAGACTGACAAATCAATGACGCATTAAGCTACATAGGCCTAGCTAATAAGCAAAGCTGGATTATCTTTGCCTTTTCTCCAACTATTTCAACTTGTCTGAATGCAATCCCCCTCTTCACCACTGGCTGGGAGAGCTAGAATGTTGTCTGTCTTAACCTTAGGGAAAATGAAACAAAAACAAAACATATTACATTCCAGGAAATTCATGACTTGCTACAAAGAGAATGGGGATTACTTGGCAAGCTTCTAAGTGGATCTAAATGGAGTGATGATCATTTAACACATTCACCCTCAATAGGTAGTGCCACAATTGTTATCCTGGACTCCTGAACTCTTTCTCCCTGATCCAATCAGTACTGAATGCTGCCACTTCTCCCTTCATAACACTCTCACATCTACTTTTGTTTCCACTCATATAATGACATTTTTAGCTCAAGTAATCATCAGTTTTTCCCTTGAAGAGATGTTATAATGCCCCCTAATCAGTCTTCCTGCCTCAAGAATCTCTTTCTTTCTCCATCATCTACACAGCTTCTAACCTGATTCTATTTAAGCACAGATCTACTGGCCATGTCATTTAACAAACTCCCCTGGTTCCCTATTTTTTCTTGATCAAATATATAAACTCTTGCCTTTATGGTTTTAAAGCTCTTCACAACCTAGCTCCAACTTGTCTTTCTATTCTCATTATATTTCACTTTCCCTTGCCTACTTTATGTTCCTCACACATGGCCTTCCATTTCCTGCCTCTGTATCATCTTACCAGCTAGCCTCTACACTCTCCTTACTTCCACCTCAGCGTCCCTCTCTTCCTTCAAGGTGAACCACAATCTCTGCCTTCTATGAGGAGGCTTTCCTGATTTCCCCACTGCTAGAGACATTTCTCTCAAATTATGTTGTATTTACTCTGCATATGTTTACATGTGTACATGTTGTCTTGCCCATGAGAAGACCAGTTCCTTGTGAGCTGAAACTATTTCCTTGTTTTTGTCTTTGTATCTCAAGTGTTTAGCACAGATCTAATGGACACCTAATGAATGCTGGCAAGTTGATTATCTCTGTCTATGCAGATCAATAAATTATTTTTATATATACTGTTTAGGGAATTGCCTGAAAAGGGAAGTAATTTGCCCCACAGTTACACAACTAGAAAGTGTCAGAGGCAGGACTGCAATACAGGGCTTCTTGACTCTAAGGCAACATCTCTATCCACTATGCCATATTTCCTCTCACGAATTTCTGTGAAAAATATTGAAATTTATCTGCTTTCTTATCATAACTCCTCACTCACCTTTAATGGATTTCACGTTATCCATAACTTTTTTCAGGGTGATCATCCCATCAGCTGTAAGACAAGGAAGAGATTAGATAGGAACCTGAGGATGCAGAGCCTTACAAAAATAATATTATATTACATCCTGAAATTATGAGACAAGCCAGAATAATTTAACAGTTTTCTCTGAACTCACAAAACTATAAAGAATTTTATCCTATTTTCTCTAAAGATTAATTTACAACAGGCAGCTGAGAAATGAAGAAAGCTCTCAATCTATAAATTGATGATAATGAATAGCATTTACATAGGGCTTTAATGTTTCCAATATGCTTTACAAATATTAACTCATTTTATCCTCAAAACAACTGTTGGAGGCAGATTCTATTATTATCTCCCCTTTAGAGATGAGGAAACTGAGTCTGAGAGAGGTTAAATGACTTGTTAGACACAGGCAGCTGGGTGGTACAGTGGATAAAATGCCAGTTCTGGAATCAGGAAGACTCATTTTCATGAATTCAAATCTGGCCTCAGACATTTACTAGCTTTGCGACCCTGGGCAAGTCACCTAACTCTGTTTTGCCTCAATTTTCTCATCTGTAAAATGAGCCGAAGAAGGAAATGGCAAACCACTTTAGTATCTTTGCCAAGAAAACCTACCTTGGGGTTCCATTGAATAGGACAAGACTGAAATGACAGTAAAATAGCAAAAAAAGAGTTACATAGCTAGTTCATGTCTAAGGCTTTGAACACAGATCCTCCTGACTCTGGGTCCAGGCCTATATCCACTCTACCATGTAGCTATCTCACAGAATCATTCAGGGAGCTTCCCTTCTTTTAGCTATTGAATATCAGAAGAACTTGTATTTTAACTAGACATTTTATTTTGGCACATGAGATTCCGACATTTTAAGAGTAAGATGGAATGAATTGGCCCCTTCCTTTCACTTGGCCCCCACTTCCTCTTTTGTGAAATGAAGAGACTATAGGTAATCTCCATGCCCCTTCCCAGCATGGACATGATATGACCCTGTGTACTAGGAAACTTCCATTTTTTAATAACATAAGGAAAAGAGAACCTAGTTTTTTCTTTCTATTATGTTTAATATTTTATGTATCTTTGCAAATTTGCTTTGCTTTTCTAATTGGTTAGATGGAAGACATATTGTCTATGAGGAAACAAATATGTAACTTTATTATAAAAATATTATGTTTAAATAGTATTTAAATTATTCAGGTGGAAGCAGGTATATCCTCTTTAGGAGAACCATCCTATTTAGTAGGCTCACTTGGTTAAAAGCCCAGAAATTGAAGCATTTAAGTAAAAGAAGAAGTTTATGCAATTCAAATCAAATATGTGATAAATGACATATGTCCATCTCTTTTTAAAATGTACAAAGTATTTTACATAAATGATCTCACTTCACCCTTGCAATAACCCTATGAAGTCTGTGCTCCAGGAGTCATTACCATGTGTATACCCACAGAATGTCATCCTCAGCTCTTTCCTTTCCCCTCCTCGTCACATCCAGTCAATCACCAATACTTTTTGGCTCTGCTTTTACAATCTATCTGCTTGCATCTCCCCACTTACACTCAGATGGTGCATTTGCACAGTAAGTATTCACTTTTGTTTTCTGGGCACAAGTGACTCACAAAGGCAGAAAAGTAAACCTTAGAAGGGTTGCAAAATGTGTTGGTGGAGGAAATAATCACATTGACAGGGTCATGAGTTCCTGAAATACTGAAGATACACACCCTCTGTGTGGCCTGAAAGACCTAGAGCTGAGGATGCCCTCACCCTCTTTATTCAAACCAAAATCACATATTCTGGGCCAGTTAGAAGCCCTGTTTAGTGTTTTTAAATGCATGCCAATTTTTAAACAGCTTATGACATACAAATCTTCAATTATCATTGTGAGGGAAATTTTTAAAGACTGTTAGCAAATCTTCTGTGGTCTTCTATACATGATCAGTAAGGCTAAGTGGGTAAGGGATCATCTTCAGGAGGTTTCCCATTGGATGATAATTTTATTTTTTCTTTTTGCCAAAGAAAGTTGAAAGAATATACTTAGGTATGCATTACTTATAGTCAGCTCAGTCTAAGACCAATGAAGACATGGATCTGTTGAAATGATAATAATAGTTAATAGTTACAAAGTATTTTAAGGTTTGCAACATTGTGTGTGTATGTATATATGTATATGTGTACATATATATATGATTTTTAAAACTTTGATTCTCACAACAACCTCATGCAGCAGACATTATTACTATTTCTATTTTATAGATGAGGAAAGAGAGGTTAAATGAAGACAATTGACTTGTCCAGGATCATACCATAAATGTCTAAAGCAGGATTTGAACTTCGGTTTTTTTGAGTCCAGGTCTAGTACTAGAAAATTTCATCTGGCTGGTTTGGATTCCCTGATTCACATTGGGCTTTTCTCCTTAAAGGGGACCACTAGGCAGTTTAGGTGGAGCCTATGGTAAAGAGTAAGAGTAAGAAGTCTTCCATCCCTGTGTTCTACTCATTGGCATTCGGGGAGACTCTTGACTTGAAGGTTCAGTCAGAGATAATATTTAATTATGCATTATGATGGGTTTTCTCTACAGGTATTTCTATCTTTCCATGTGAACAAAATTAAGATCCTTTCAGAAATTCTCAGACAGGAAATCAAAGCTTCCGCAAAAACACATACATGGTAAGAAAGGCTTACCATCAACTGGCAGGTTATTCAGTAGTTCCTCAATTTCACTATCTGTGAGCTTGATCCCCAGGTTTCCCAGAACGTTTTCTAGGTTGTTAATGTTAACATTCCCTCCTTCAGAAAGAAGAAAATTGAAGAACATAATCAATCAAACATTTGTTAAGTTCTTATTATATGTTAGATACTGTACTAAGTTGTAGGGATCCAAAGCCAAGTCAAGTCAACAAATATCTATTAAGTGCTTACTATGTGCCAGGCAATGTGCTAAGTGCTGGGAATAAAAAGAAAATCAAAAGCATTGTCTCTGCCTTCAAGGAGCTCACAGTCTAACGAGTGGGACAAATAGGAAAAATATGGAATTGTGCCCAAGACGGACAAATTGTATAAAGCCTATATGTAAATACAATTATCCTATGAATTTCAGAACTGGATTTATCATTCCTAGTTTGAGAGTGGGATAATACAAATAACAATTCTAAGGACACACATGGAGAGTCACTGGGAGAGCTGGAAAATGATCTGTTGCTGTGATCCTGGTCCAAGAGACCCTGACAGTCCTTTCAAGAGAAGCCTTCATAGCACACAATAAGTAATGAACTGGTCAAAGCTGATGGATTCTGGCAAAACAGACAGCTAATCTACACACTTTAGGCCAAGAGGTTTGAAGTTCTCTATAGTGACAGAATCTGGTGAATTACTTCCTCCAGGGTGGCTATACATAAAGAACTGAAGGTCATGAAGCAGAAACCCTGAATCAGTAAATTGGAGGGATAAGAGAATTCATGTTATAATCGCTGAGAAGAAATAAAACAGTTTTTCACTCACCACTGAGATTCTGCATGGCATTCATTATATTTTTCTTATTTATCTTCCCTAGGGCTGTAAGAGAAGGTACAATTCAGGTCATAATGAAAGTAACTGAGAATTACAATAATAGCACAAAGTACATCATTTTGTAAACCCAGCCTATAAAGACTGTCCTGTCACTTCTTTGCTCCACAACATAATGATGAAGTGAAGAAACAGAGCCCTCAAGGGAATGAATTTATCTCTTTCATTAACAGAGATTTTTCTGACTTTGTGGTAACACAATCTATTATAGTGAAAGAAGGCTTTATTACAGAAAAAAGCTTTCCTTCAAACAGGTATTATTTCACAAAATCTTGACTAAAGTACCCTTTAAAAGGAAATAGTAGACAGTATAAGTTTTGAAACAGGGTTTTTTTGGGGGGAGTATGTGAAACTATCTTTATTAAGAATAAGTTGTTCAACTAATACATTATTGGTGAAGTTGTGAAATGATCCCACCATTTTGGAGAGCAATTTGGAACTATGCTCAAAGGGCTACAAAAATGTACATACCCTTTGATTCAGCAATAGCACTTCTAGGGCTATATCCCAAAGAGATCAAACAAATAGGAAAAAGACCCACATGTACAAAAATATTCATAGCAGGTCTTTTTGTGGTGGCAAAGGACTGGAAATTGAGAGAATGCCCATCAATTGGGGAATGGCTGAGCAAGTTGTGGTATATGAATGTAATGGAATACTATTGTGCTATAAGAAATGATGAACAGGGTGACTTCAGAAAAACCTGGAAAGACTTATATGGTCTGATGCTGAGTGAAGTGAGCAGAACCAAGAGGACTTTATACACAATAACAGCCACATTATGCGATGACTAATATTGTTAAACTGAACCCTTCTCAGCATTACAAGGATCTAAGACATCTCCAGAGGCCTCGGGATGGAAAATGCTGTCCACATCCAAAGAAAGAACTATGGAAGTCAAATAGCTATCACTTATTTTTACCTTCTGTTGAGTTTTGTTTCATCTTTCTGATGGTTCCTCCTATTGGTTTTAATTTTTACTTACAACTTCACTAATGTGAAAATATGTTTAATAGGAATATAAATGTAAAGCCTATATCAGATTGTGCGCTGACTTGAGGAGGGTGGGGGGAAGGAAGGGGGAGAAAAATTTTCAACTCAAAAGCATATGGAAGTGATTGTTGATAAATCAAAAAAATTAATAAAATTAAAAAACAAACAAACAAAAAGAATAAGTTGTTCATTGTGGGATGACTAACTTTGATAGACTTAGTTCTTCTTAGCAATGCAAGGTCTAAGACAACTCCAAAAGACTCATGATGGAAAATGCTATCCACATCTAGAAAAAGAACTATGGAGTTTGAATGCAGATTGCAGTATACTATTTGTTCTCTCTCTTTTTTTCTTTCTCATGGTTCCTCTCATTGGTTCTAATTCTTCTTTACAACACGACTAATGTGAAAATGTTTAATGTGAATGTATATGTAGAGCCTATATCAGATTGCATGCCATCTTAGGGAGAGGGGAAAGAAAAGAGGGGAGAAAAATTTGGAACTCAAAATCTTATGGAAGTAAATGTTGAAAACTAAAAATAAATTAATGAATTAAAGAAAAAAGGAATAAGTTGTTTTTAAAAGCTTATGATAAATTTAACAATGTACTGACAACACTGTGCTTTCTCTATGATTTTTCTGCACTTCTGTTCTCTTTTGTGTATTTTATACATCTTTCATTGATGTTATTTTTATTCTTTTTTTCATCATTATCACTACTTTTTTCTCCTCCCCATTACTGCCATCCCTCTCCTCCTCAATAAGAACCCTAGCTTATAATGAATAAAAAGAGTCAAGGAAAACATATATCTTATTTGTACTTCTAGTCTATAAATTCTCTGGAAAGAGATTAGAATTACAATTCACAGTCTTCTGAAGTCAGCACTCCAATTTTAAGTCTTTCAAAGTTGCTTTTGTTTATGATGTAATAATTTTATAAGATTTTTCTTGGTTCTACTCACTTCACTCAGCAACAGTTCATAAATGTCTTCCCATGTTTCTCTGAAGTTATTCCATGAGGTGTTTATTATGGTGTAATAGTATTCTATTAATTCAAATATGGTAATTTCATTAGCCATCTTCCAACTGATATGCACCTTGTAAGTTTCCAATTCTTTTCTATAATAAAAAGTGATGCTATACATTTTTTATTTTGTGCCTTTGAGTCTTTATCTCTTTCTTTGAACTTTTTAAGGACATAAACCAAGAAGCTATATAGATGAATAAAAGGGTATGAAAAGTTTTTTTTTTAACTATAGCCTCAAATTGCTTTTCAGAATAGCTGGACTAATTCACAACTTCACCAACACTGCATTGATATAGCTGTTTTCCCAGGGCTTCTCCAAATTTTCTGAATAAGTATGTTAATTTAGCTAACATTGCCATTTTTGTTATGTTGACATGGCCTAGACATGAGAAAATAATGTTCTTCCATTTATTTAATAATGTTTATTTCTTTAAATGGTTTTTTTAGTTATGTGCATATAATTTTTCTCTCCATCCTGGCAGCCGGACTCCCCAAAATTATATAATTCTGTAGTTATTTTTAATGTAATACCTTTAAAAAAATCTCTTCCTGCTTTGTTTTGTTTGTTACATATAGAAAGTTTGAAAATTTGGGTGGTTTTATTTTATATTTTTCTACTTTGCTGAAGTTGTTTCAATTAAGCTTTAATTGAATCTCTAGGGTCCTCTAAATAAATTGTCATATCATCTGTAAAAAATTAATAATTTTGTTTCCCTTCTGCCTGTACTTCTTTCTTCAATTTATATTTTTTATTGCAATAGATGGAAATACATCAAATCATAGTGGTGGTAATGGAAATCCTTGTTTTACCCCAGTCTTGCTGGGAAAGGTCATCCATTTCTCATCCAAAGACAGTTCTATTTGTTGCCAAATAGAGCACACACCCATTTAAGTAGAACAGCTTCCCTAGTGAGTTTCCCTGTATGATAAGATGCTCAGACATATTCAAACGGATTTGTTTGGGAGTTCCCTGCAAAGCTTTAGGTGGCAGAATGCTAAATTTGGAGTCTGAGATTTGGGATTAAATTATGCCTCATATGATTACTAGCTATGTGACCCTAGGCAAATCACTTAATCTCTTTGGGTCTCAGTTTCATTATCTATGAAATGAGGAGTTTGGATCAGATGACCTCTAAGGTTCCCATTAGCTCTAAATATATTAGTAAGCCATCCATGCCTACATATCTTATGTGACTTTTGTCCATGTCCTGCCAGAATTTTGCCATAAGGCTACCACCCAACTTACTGTGTGCTTTCTTTTCCCCATACTGATATTATTAAGGTACTAATGGAGCACTCTGTTTATCTACTTGTTAATCTCTAACCCTGTGATAACCCTATTTAATACCTGTTCTTCAAAGTTTCTCACTGGTTATTTGTTGTATTTGATAACACCCACCATGCAATTCTCTATTGTCCTGTGTGTGATATTCATTTTTAATTCTTTGGAGAATGTTGTATTCCTTGTCTCACTAGAAGTAACATCGGCAGAATGTTGGTATTAAAAATTGTGCCTTTTGGTATAATTAATGGACCTTTAAATTTTACAAGGACAACCTAACTTACTTGCCTCTTAAACTTTGGGAGTAACTGGTCCATCTTTATTCCTCCTCCCAGATATACAGACTTAGGGACAAGTCCTATAAATTATAATAAAAAGGCATGTCAGGGGCAGCTAGGTGGCGCAGTGGATAGAGCACCAACCCTGAAGTCAGGAGGACCTGAGTTCAAATCTGGCCTCAAACCAAACACTTGACACTTACTAGCTGTGTGACCCTGGGCAAGTCACTTAACCCCAACTGCCTTAAAAACAAAAAGGCATGTCATGATTTATGTCATGGACATTCTTCATCTACTTGGCCTTCCTTGTGTGGATAGTTTACACAAACTCTTGAGTGGTGACAGAGCTTTTCCCAGAGCCTATGCAATATTCCAGGCTTTGATGCAACCAGCAAAATGTCATCCCCAAAACAAGACTATCTGGAGGACTCGACCATCCACCAAGAAAACATCTTTAACTTGGATTCTCCACTGCATCTCCATCACAGTGGTGAATACCTTTTGTCACCATATATATTTTTCTTTTATGCCTCACCTAATGTTTGTGATTAGAGGTGCATTGAACAGGGTTATTAGTTATACCTTTCAAGGAATCTAGATTTTTACATATTAACAAAATATCATGTTGGAAAAGTGATTCTAAGGTGTTCTTTTACTCTACTGAATCAAATACTTCTTCATAATTGACAAACAATAATCAAAATGTGAGCTTTTATTTTCTACTTCTTTCATTCAAGTACAAAATGACAGAGATGTTGTCTGTTGTTCAATATCTCTTGCAAACACATGCTTATTTCCTACGAATACCCCCATCAAGGATGTTCTTGAATTGTGCGTAAATGACTCATATAAAGATTTTATATTGGTGAAAGAGTAGGCATATAGGTAAGGGATTGTTGATTTTTCCTTAGTCACCTATTTATTAATATTATTAAATTTACTAATAAGATCCAAGTTTTTTTTTTCATATCTTCTCCTTCAGAAACCTTTCATATACAAGGTGTCTCAAAAGTCTTAAGTATAGTCTAAAGCTATTAAGGCTGAAAATTGCACTAAGACTTTTGGGCCAGCCTCTGTATCTATCAGTACTCTCATAACACGTCTCCCTCAGAACCATTTTCTATATATACTTGGTCCAACCAGGCTGCTTTTCTCCTTTATTTTCTCTTTAATGCTACTTCTATCCCTCTTATAATCTTATCCTGGATTATGATGTTTGGTTACAAGCGTTCTTTCTCTACAACTCTTGATGATTAGCTTGTTATACAAATTGTTATACAGATCTCTTCCATTGTCGTTTGTTTATTGTTCTATATTTATCCTTAAATTCACTGGAGATTACTGTGCTTAAGGGGATTCCTTACAAAGTTTTCTTTAAATTGGTTTAACTTTCCACAGCTTTGCTATTCTTTACAAGACAATATTGCTTTATAACAATGTCCACCATTCTTCTCCATAAGATTTTACATGTTTACAAGTTTACTAACTGAAAGTAGTGTTGCCACATTTCTTCACTTGGCATGTAGATCAAACATTTACTGCTGATGGGGCTCATTTGGTTTTTCTCTTGTGATTTAGAGTGGCTAAAGTTTTGCCTTTTAATGGCCATTCATGTCATTTTTGATGCCTATTTTCCATTTTCATTGTTAGTTATTTGTTTAAATAATTCAAGACTCAATTGTTTCAACTGTATGCCATATCTCTATCTCATCATTATCTTTATAATTTTTATATTTGTTATATATCATATCAATTATTATATCCCAAATATCATAACAAGAAGATAATGCATTCTTTTTATATCCTGATCTTTTTCTTGACGATGTAGTGGTCTTATTGTTCTGATGCAGTGATTACTCTTATAGCAATAATAAGTCAACGTAATTAATTTTACTTTTTTGCAATGCTCTTTGGTGCTCACCAAACCTAGCACCTACCAATTCTTTTCTCGAAGAAACTGTTCCTGATACAAATGCATAAAGTATAGTCTACAAATCTCTGGCATCTTTCTTTCCCTTATCCTGAATACTTATCCTTAGTTCTACAATAAGGGATGACCAAATATTTTATGAAATCATATTTCTTGTGGCCTTTGCTTGTATGATAAGACCAACTCCACCAGTTTCTTCTTTGTTTGCCTCTTCAAGCCATTTAACTGTGTGACTATAGCTTTCGTTGAGTTGCAAAGTACTTTACAAATATTAACTAATTTTATACTAATAACAACCCTGGTGCTGTTATTATTATTATTATTCCCATTTCTCAGATGAAGAAACTAAATTTTGGAGAAGTTACGTGACTTTCCAAGGATCACACAGCTAGTCAATGTCTGAGGCCTCATTTAAACTCAGATCTTCCTGATTCTACACACAACACTATCTACTGCACCATCTAAGTGCCTTGAATACCTTTAATACTCTATTACTTTTCATTTCATTCACTCACAAAAACTCACTTTTAAAATGCTTACTCTATGCTAGGTGATAGGGAAAATAAAGCTTTTTCAAGCACGACCCAAGAAGAATAACAACAAAGCTGAGATTTAAGCTTCAGTCCTTGATTCCCAATCTAGTCCTCCTTTCCACGACAACACACTTCCTCTTTGGAGGTATCTGAGCAGTCCTTTTAACACTAGCCCAGGCAAAAGTTTAGAGAAACTATGAAATATTGTAAATTCCCAAATCTAAAGGAAACCATTAAATGACTATTTCTAGATTGGCCAAAGCAGTAAAGTTTAGGCTTGCCTTCTCAGAGATTAATAAAGAATAAGAAAACATTCCCTATATTTCTGAGAGTACCAATGAAATTTTATAAGGAGTGTGGAGTGTCACCTCCTGGGAAATAACGCTGTATCCCTCTGCCCTGAGACAAATAAACTGAGCAACTTTGCCTCCTGTTTCCTGTCATACCCCTCCAGCTCTTTTGGTCCAGAATCCCCAGCCCCTACGCTAACCCACTTGAGATTGGTGGAAATAAGATCACTTTCCATTTGAGGCAATGCTGTGTTAGTTTTCTATCAACTGTTAACTCTACTTTCTTCTACCTTCCTCCATCTACTTCTTTTGTTTTTATTCTTCTATTCATTTCTTTTCATTTTATTTGCTCCCTTTTCTCTTTACTACTCCTTAGGCTTCCTAGTTGCTAAAATGGTATTATCTTCCCCTGGTTAGTCTTTATGCTTGCACTGAAGTTGAAGAACTCTAGCCTAGGGAGTAGTCTGAGGCATCTTTCTTTAGGAAGAAAGTATCAGGCATTTTCACACAAGCAAGTCCAAGTTCCCTTGATGGCCACAGTGTAATCTGGAACACTCACCATCAATTGGCAGGTGTTTGAGGAGATCCTGATATTCTCCTGTGAGTATGATCCCCATGTCCTTCAGAAAGTTTTCCAGGTTTTGAGCATCAATGTTTTCTGTTTATAAAATATGAGAATGTGAGGAATCTGTAATGAGTCTAGGGGTGAAAGATGCCCCTTATTCCTATGTCTTATCATCTCTAAATTCAACAAGAAGAGAGAGTTAGCCTTTGAGATAAGACTACACATAAAGGGAAAGTCATGTGGGAATACAGAAATAGAAATTATTTCCTTCTGGTTCAGAGAACTATTCTAGATTGAAGAGGCCCACACTGAGGAATGTGAAATGGTCATTAGACAATTATCTGGTGAAGACAGACAAATCAATGACCCATCAAGGTACGTGGGTCTAGCTAATAAGTTGGGCTTCTTTATCCTGCCTTTAGCCCAATTGCTTCAACTTGTCTGAATATAATCCCACGCTTTACCACTGGATTAGGGACCTAGAATGTTGTCTGTCTCCACATTAGGAAAAATGAAGCAAGAACAATATATATTATGTTCCAGGAAATTCAGGACTTGCTACAAAGGGACTGAAGAGAATTTGTCAAGCTTATAAGTGGATTTAAATAGAGTGATGATCATTTAGCACAATTCATCCACGATAGGGAGTGTCACAGTTGTTATTCAGTACTCCTCATTCTTACTATCCCATATCTAATTAATTGTTGAATCTTGCCACTTGTCCCTCCATAACATCTTTCATATCTACCCCCTTTTGTCCCAACTCACACAACCAGATCAGTAGCTCAAGTCATCATCCATTTCTCCCTTTAAGAGATGTTAGAATGCCCCCAATCAGTCTTCCTGCCTCAAAAGTCTCTTCCCGCCCCAGTCCATCTTTTACACAGCTGCCAATCTGATTCTGTTTAAGCACAGATCTACTGACTATGTCACTTAATAAACTCCCCTAGTTTCCTATTTCTTCTGGATTAAATACGTAAACTCCTGTCTCTTTAGATTTTATACCTTTTCAGTCTCATTATATGTCACTTTCCCTTGCCTATTTTCTGTTCTTCACATATGGCCTATTTCCTGTCTCTATATTATCTTACTAGCTGTCCCCCATGTTCTCTTTACTTTTACCTCAGAGTTCCTCTCTTCCTTTAAGGTAGGTGAACCACAATCTCTGCCTTCAATGAGGAGACTTTCCTGATTCGCGTACTGCTAGGACCCTCCCTCCCAAATTATGTTGTATTTATTCTGCATATATTACCTGTGTACATATTATGTTTCTCAAGAGAATTCAAGCTCCTTGTGAGTTGGGACTATTTTATTGTTTTTATCTTTGTATCTCTAGTGCTTAGCATAGATCTAATGGGCACCTATTAAATGCTTGCAAGTTGATTATCTCTGTCTATGCAAATCAACAAATTATTTTGATATACACTATTAACAAAGCTGCTTAAGAAGGGAAATAATTTGCCCCACAGTCACACAACGAGTAAGTGTCAGAGGCAGGATTTGAATAGAGGAATCCTTGACTTGAAGTTATACCTCTATCCATGCTTCCTCTCGTGGATTGCTGTGAAAAATAATGTGATTTATCTTCTTCTCATCATTACTTCTCACTTACCTTTAATAATTTTCATCTTATCCATAAATTTATTCAGGGCAACCAGCCCATCATCTATAAGACAAAACACATATTAGACAGATACCCAAAGATGCAGAGCCTCACAAACAGAGTATTACATTCTGAAATTATGAGATAAGCCAGAGGAATTTAGGTTTTTTTTTCTGAATTCAGGTAATTACCTTGAAATTTTATCCAATTTCCCCTTAAGATTAATTTATAATGTGCAGCTGAACAATGAATAAAATTCTCAATCTATAAATTGATAATAATAATAGTAAGAAAAATAGTTAGCTTTTACATAAGGCTTTAATGTTTGCAAAATGCTTTACAAATATTAACTTGGTTTAATCTCTCAGAAACCTTGGGAGGCAGGTGCTATTATTATCTCCCTTTTAGAGATGGGGAAACTGAGACTGAGAGAGGTTAAACTGCTTGCCTGGGGCACCTAGGTAGCACAGTGGATAGAGTGTCAGGCCTGGAATCAGGAAGACTCATTTTCATGAGTTTCAGTCTGGCCTTAGACACTCATTATCTTTTTGACCCTGCAGAAGTCATTTAACCCTGTTTTGCCTCAGTTTCCTCATCTGTAAAATGAGCTGGAGAGTGAAATGGCAAACCACTTTAGCATCTTTGCCAAGAAAACCTAACATGCTGTCACAATAATTAGGACAAGACTGAAATGGCTGTATAACAGCAACAAAAAGGATTACACAGCTAGTTCATGTCTAAGACTTTGAACACAGGTCCTCCTGAGTCAGGGTCCAGGCCTATATCCACTATATCATGTAGCCATCTCACAAAATCATTGAGGGAGGTTCCTTTCTCTTAGCTATTGAGCATCAGGAGAACTTGTATTTTAACTGGCTATTTTATTTTGGCACATGAAATTCCGGACATTTTAAGAGTAAGATGGAAAGAATTGATGCCTTCCTATGTTTTGGCCTCCACTTCCTTCTCTGTGAAATGAAAGGATTAGACTAGGTAATCTCCATGTCCCTTTCCAGCATGGACATGACATGAATCTGTGTACTAGGAAACTGTCATTTTTTATTGGTAACACAAGGAAAAGAGGACCTAGTTTTTTCCTTTAATGTTCTGACCACAATCTTTCTTGTGGCTAATATTTTTAATATTAATGAATCTTTTTCTTTGCAAATTTGCTTTACTTTGTCAAACTGGTTAAATGGAAGTCATATTGTCTATGAGGTAACAAATATATAATTTTATTGGCAAGGTCATGGATTCTTGAAATGTTGAGGATTCACACCCCTTGACAACTGGCCAGAATGGCTTAGAACTGAAAACTCTATTTTATTTTTACTGAAATCATGAATTTTGGCCCAGTTAGAGATGCTGTTTAGTCTTTACAACTACAGGCTAATTTTTAAGCAGCTTATAACATACATTTCTTCCATTACCATGGTGAGGTAAAATTTTAAAGTCTCAGCTAGCAAATCTTTAATGGTCCCCTGTATAAGAACATTAAGACTAAGTTGATAGGGGATCATTTTTAGAATGATCCCCACTAGATGCTTTTTATTTTTTTTTGCCAAAGAAAAATGAAAGGATATACTTAGGTTGTAATCTGCTCAGTCTACTCAAACCACTGAAAATATAGATCTTTTAAAACAATAATAATGGCTGGCATATAATGGTTTCAGGTTTACAGTACCGTACATATATATATGTGTATATATATATATATATATATGTGTGTGTGTGTATATATATGTGTGTGTGTGTGTATATATATATATACATACATATATATATATATATATATATACGCTTATTTTTTCATTTGATTCTCACAACAACCTTATATAGCAGACACTATTACTACTCCCATTACAGATGAGGAAAGAGAGATTAAGCGAGGATCAGTGATTTGTCCAGGATCATACTATAAGTATCTAAAGCAGGATTTGAACTTAGGTTTTCTTGAGTCCAAGTTGAGTACTAGAAAATTTCATCTGGCTGGTTAGGATTCCTTGATTCACACTGGGTTTCTCTCCTTAAAAAGGACCACTAGGCAGGTGAGGCCTGTGGTAAAGAGTAAGGAGTCTACCATTCCTGTATTCTACTCAGTGGCATTCTGGGAGACTCTTGACTTGAAGGTTCAGTCACATAATATTTCATCATACATTATGATGGGCTTTCTCTACAGGTATTTTTCTCTTTACATGTGAGCTAAATTAGGATCCTTTCAGAAATTCTCAGACAGGAAGGAAAAGCTTCACCAAAAGCACACAGGGGCATAAGAAATGCTCACCATCAATTGGCAGGTAACTCAATAGCTCCTCAATTTCGCTATCTGTGAGCTTGATCCCCAGGTTTCCCAGAACCTTGTCCAGGTTGCTAATATCAATATTCCCTCCTTCAGAAAGAAGAAAATTGAAGAACATAATCAACCAAGCATTTATTAAGTCCTTATTATATGTTAGGCACTATACTAAATTGTAGGGATTCAAAGCCAAGCCAACTCAACAAACATCTATGAAGTGCTTACTATGTATCAGGCACTGTACTAAGTGCTGGGAGTAAAAAGAAAATCAAAAGCACTGTCCCTGCCCTTAAGGAACGCACAGTCTAATAGGGGAGATGAATAAGAGAAATATGTAATTATACCCAAGAGGAACAAATTATATAAAACCTATATGTAATTACAATTATTCTGTAAATTTCAGAACTGGATTTATCATTCCTAGTTTGAGGGTGAGATAATACAAATAACAATTCACATATATAATGTACTTTCCAAATGCTCTCCAAACTCATTTTGAAAGACACAGCGACAGTTTCTAAGGACACACATAGAGAGTCACTGGGAGAGCTTGGAAGGTGATATATTGCTATGATCTTGGTCCAAGAGACCCTGCCAATCTTTTTAAGAGAAGCCTTCATACCACACAGTAAGAAATGAACTGGTTAAGGCTGATGGATTCTGGCAAAGCAGACAGCTAATCTACATACTTTAGGCCACAGAGTTTGACATTCTCTACAGGGACAGAATCTGGTGAATTGCCTCCTCCAGTTTGTGCATAAAGAACTGGAGGTCATGAGGTAGAAATGCTGAATCAGTACATTGGAAGGATAAGAGAATTCATGGTATAATCACTGAGAAGAAATAAAATACTTTTTCACTCACCATTGAGTTTCTTCACAGCATTTATAAGGGCTTTCTTACTTATCTTCCCTAGGGCTGTAAGAGAAGGTGTAATTCAGGTCACAGAGGAAGTAACAGAGAATTACAATAATAGCACAGAGTTCATCATTTTGTAAACCCAGCCTATAAAGAATGTCCTATGCCTTCCTTGCTCTCCAAATGAGAATGAAGAAAGAAGAAATGTTCTCAAGGGGATGAATCCATCCCTTTCATTAACACAGATTCTTCTGATTCTATGGTAAAACAATCTATTATAGTGAATGGAGGATTTATTGTAGAGAAAAACTTTGCTTCAAACAGATATTATTTCTTTCACAAGCTCTTGACTCAAATGCCTTTTTAAAGGAAGTAGTAGACAGTACTGGTTTGGAAAGAGGCTGGTTATTTTTAGTATCTGAAACTGTGACTCTCTATTATGTATCACTTGTTTTAAAAAATATACGATAAATTCAACAAGGTAATTCCAACATTGCTTCTCTATTACTTTTTCTTAACTCTTGTTCTCTTCTGTATATTTTACATATCTTTCTTTGATGTTCTTTTGATTCTTTATTCTTTTTTTGTATCACTTTCACTACTTCTTTCTCCTTCTCATGACTTTTATCACTTCTTCCCCAATAATAACCCTTGCTTATAATAAATAAAGATATTGTCAAGAAAAACATCCACACACTAGCCATATGTGAAAATATGTCTTGTTCTATACCTCCAGTCTACAACTTTTCTGGCAAGAGATGAGAATTATGATTCATCACCAGACTTCTGAAGTCAGAGCCCCAATTTTAAATATGATAATTTTATTAGAAATTCTTCAACTGATAAACACTTTGAGTCTTTTATCTTTTTCTTTAATCTCTTTCATGATGTGAACCAGGAAGCTCTATACAGGGGTTAAATGGTATAAAAAGTCTACTTCCTTTTTTACTTTAGCCTTAAATTGCTTTTCAGAATATTTGGACCAATTCACAGTCTTACCAGCATTGCAGTAATATAACTGTCTTCCCATAGCTTCTCCAAATTTTCTGAATAAATATTAGCTTATTATTTTAGTAATTTAATGATTTATTTAGAAATTTAGTAAATTAATTAGTAATTTGATTTAGTAAATTAACAATTTAGCTAATATTGCCATTTGTTATTATACTGACATGGCCCAAACATGAGCAATTAAAATTTCCCCATTTATTTAATACTATATTTTTATAAAGGCTGTTTTTTAAGTTGTGTGCCTATAATTTCCCTGTCCATTTTGGTAGCTGGACTCAAATATTTTATAATTCTGTAGTTATTTTTAATGGAATAACTTTTAAAAAATCTCTTTCTGTTTTGTTTTGTTGGTAATAACATAGAAAGTTTGAAAATTTCTATGGTTTTATTTTCTATTTTTCTACTTCACTGGTTGTTTCAACCAATTTTAGTTGAATTTCTGGGGTCATCTAAATGAACTGTCATATTATCTGTAAAAACTGATAATTTTGTTTCCCTTCTGCCTCTACTTCTTTCTTCAATTTATTTTTGTATTGCAATAGGTATACTATACCAAATAAAAGTGGTGAAAATGGCTGTCCTTGCCTTACCCAGTTTTATTGGGAGAGGTCATCTTTTTCTCAGCAATGACAGTCCTATTTTTAACCAAATATAAAGTACATTAAAGTACAAAAGCTGCCCTAGTGAGTTTCCCTGTATGACATGTTGCTCAAATATACTCAAATGGATTTGTTTGAGAGTCCTCTGCAAAGATGCAGATGGCAGAGTGATAAACTTGGAAACATTTGGGTTTATATTATGTCTCATATGATTATTGGCTGTGTTGCCTCAGGTAAGTCACTTAACTTCTCTAGGTCTCAGCTTTTATTATCTTAAAATGCAGAGGTTGGACCTGATGCCCTTAAAGGTCCCTTCTAACTCTAAATTATATTAGCAACCCATCCATGCCTGCATTTCTTGTGTGACTTTTGTCCATGTCCTCCCAGAATTGTGCCATAGGGCTACCAACCAACTTGCTGAGAGTTTTCTTTGCCCTGTGTTGACATTTGAGGGTACCAATGGAGCACTCTGTTTATCTATTTGTTAACCCCTTACTCTTGCTCTGTGATAATTATATTTAACTGCTGTTCTTCAAAGTTCCTCATTGATTATATGGATTATATGTCGTAGCTTCGTTATAGCTACATAGCACCTCTCTATTCCCCTGTGTATGATACTCATTTTTTTCTTTTTTGTTATTAATTTATTTTGATTTATCAACAATCACTTCCACAAGCTTTTGGGTTTTAAATTTTTCTTCCCCCCCCTCCCCAAGATGATGCACTATCTGATATAGGCTGTACATATACATTCCTATTACACATATTTTCACATTAGTGATCAGGAAGAATTAGAACCAATAGGAGGAACCACCAGAAAGAGGAAACAAAATAAAAAGAAGAAAAAATAGCAAATAGTATGCTTCGATCTACATTTAAACTCCATAGTTCTTTCTTTGGATGTGGATAGCATTTTCCATCATGAGACCTTTGGAGATGGCTTAAATCCTTGCATTGCTGAGATGGACTAATTCTATCAACGTTAGTTACTGCACGATGTGGCTTTTACTGTGTACACCGTTCTCTTGGTTCTTCTCACTTCACTCAGCATCAGTCCATGTAAGTCTTTCCAGTTTTTTTCTGGTCTGCCTGCTCATCATTTCTTATAACACAATAGTATTCCATGACATTCATATACCACAACTTGTTCAGCCATTCCCCAATTGATAGGCATTCCCTCAATTTCCAATTCTTTGCCACTGCAAAAAGAGCTGCTATAAATATTTTTGTACATGTGGATCCTTTTCCCATTTTTACGATCTCTTTGGGATACAGCCCTAGAAGTGCTATTGCCAGCTCAAAGGGTATGCACATTTTTATAGCCCTTTGGGCATAGTTGTGATATTCATTTTTAACTCTTTGGAGACTGTTGTATTCCATGTCTTGCTAGAAGTAATACTGACAGAATGTTAGTATTAAAAAAGTGGGCCTTTGTTTCCACGGGAAACTTGATGTAATTAATGGAACTTTACTTTCCATAAAGGCAACCTAACCTGCTTTCCTCCTCTTCAAATCCGGGAAGAACTGGTCCATCTTTATTTTTTTATTTTCTATTTTTTGGTTAGGCAATGGGGTTAAGTGACTTGCCCAGGGTCACACACTTAGTGAGTGTTATGTATCTGAGGCCGGATTTGAACTCAGGTCCTCCTGACTCCAGGGCCGGTGCTCTATCTACTGCGCCACCTAACTGCCCCCCATCTTTACTTTTTCTCCCAGATGCACATGCGTAGGGACAAACCATCTAAGTCTGTGACATAAAGGCATGTTATGATTTGTGTCATGGATATTCTTTATTCACTTGGCCTTCCCTGTGTGGATGGTTTGCACAAACTCTTGAGTGGTTACAGAGCTCTTTCAGGAGGCTCTGCAGTATTCTAGGTTTTGATGTAACTAACAGGACTATCCAGAGGACTGAACCATCCACTAAAAACCCTCTTCACCTTGGACTCTCCATTGTATCTCCATCACAGTGCTGTATACCTTTTGTTACCACACATATTTCTGTTTTATGCCTTACCTGATATTTATTATCAAAGGTTCACTGAACAGGGTTATTAAGTGTTATACCTTTCAAGGACTCTAGATGGATTTTTACATATGGACAGGAAATACCTTGTTGGAATAAAAGACTCCAAGATTTTCTTTTGATCTACTGAATCAGTTTTTCAAAATCAACAAAGAAGTAAAATGTGATCTTATATTCTCTACATCTTTCAATCAGCTACAAAGTTGTTGTCTGTTGTTGAATATCTTTTGCAGACACCTGCTCATTCCCTATTAATATTCTTATCAAGGATGCTTTTGAATTGTTAGTAGAAGACTCATATAAAAATTTTGTATTGGTGGAAGAGTTGGCATATAGGTCAGTGACTGCTGATGCTTTCTCAGTCACCTGTTTATTAATATTAAATTTATTAATGAGAGCCAAGGTTTTTTTGTATCTCCCCTCTCTTTCAGACCTTCATATACAAGGTATTTCAAAAGTCTTAGTATCATTTAAAGCTATTAAAGCTTAAAATTGCACTAAGACTTTTGGGATAGCCTCTTTATCCAGTAGTACTCTTAGAATTGTGTCTCCTTCAGAATAAATCTCTATATACACTTGGTCCAATTGGCCAACTTTTCTCATCTTTGTTCTTTTTCAATGCCATCTCTGTCCCTTCCTTAATCTTATCGTGACTTGTTACGTTTGGGCACAAGTGTTCTACCTCTATTGCTCTTGATGGTTTGTTATACTAATCATTAGCGATCTTTTCCATTTTCCTTTATTTATGGTTCTATATTTATTCTCAAATCCACTGGAGATTACCATATTTAGGGGGATTCTTTACAAAATTCTCTACATTGGTTTAACTTTCCACAGCTTCTCTATGCTTTGTGAGACAATATTGGTTATAGCAATGTCCATAATCCTTTTCCATGAGATTTTACAAACAAGTTTACTAAATAAATATATTGCCATATTTCTTCACATGCATGTAAGTCAATCATTTCCTGACTAAGGTGTTTACTGGGCTCATTTGGTTTTCCTCTTGTGTCAACAGATTTCGTTAAAGTTCTTCCTTTTAATGAGCATTTGTGTAATTTTTGATGCTCATTTCCCATTTTCATCGTTAATTCCTTGTTTAAATAATTCAGAATTGAAGTGTTTCAATTGTATGCCATATGTTTTTTACTGTTGTTACTGATTTTTATATCATTTAATATATTTTTGATATATCAAGAATCATATCCAGAATATTATAGCAAGAAGATCATATATTTTTGTAATACTCTGATCCTTTTCTTGACAAGGTAGTAGTCTTATTGTTCACAACTGATCCAGTGATTATTTTTACATCAATAATTAGTCTTTTCTATCTGGTTAGATATAATCTATTTAACTTTCTTTCTTTCTTTCCTTTTTTTTAGGGCTTTTTGGTGCTTGCCAACTCTAGCACCCATCAGTTC